CCCAAGGGGGGAAACCCCACCCCCGATGCCAAAAAGGCCGGAGGGGGGGGGGGGGGGGGGGGGGGGTGTACTCATAGTCGTGCATGCCGTAGTCGTTTGACCATTGACCTCGCATCCCTACAAAGCCGGGACGGAGCATGCCGGGTTCTCACCGGACCAGGCTCTCACATCACCAAGCGCGAAGCGCCGTGAGGTATTTGGCGAGTCGCATGAAGGGTGAGCTGCCATCCTGCTAAGGGTGTTCGGCATCTTGTGCTTACTTCCTTGCGTACGGATGACAGCTACGTATGACTTAATTTATTTTCTGGTGCTTTCACTTCCAGAGACAGTTGTAAGCACTGTGTAACTGCCTCGAGGAAGCTTGACCATTTTAACACAACGTGGTGCGATCATCCCCCGTTGCGCGGAGTGGGGTGGGGGGGGGGGGGCATTTAGTTCGAACTCGACTCTGCCCTTTCACAGCTGTGTATCGTTCGAGACATGACCAAGCTTCATGAGGACAATCCCGGGTATCTTACACCGACAGTAGATCGGTTCCAACTCTTCGTTGAGTGCTCCTACTTCGTGATGCAAAAATCTGGTCCTGAAAACCCTGAAGGCCGTAAGGTTTCCTGAAATATTTTGCCGGGTCACCTTTGGTCAACCCTACCAGCAGTTTCGACTGACGACCGTTGACGAGGCGTCATGGAAAAAAATACACAAAAAGTCATGGGTCAGAAACGCGCCACGCATGGTGAAAGGCATGCTTCGTAGAAGTAGAAGAACTCCACTATGCTCCTTCTGGCGCTCACTCTTCCTCGACCACGCTGCAGGTCGGAGGAAAGGTCACCGCGATGGGAAGTGGTGCCACCAACTTCCAGTATCGAAAGGTCCTCAACCGTGAGAGTGCTAATGCCATGAAGGTAGGTCGACTTCACCGTGCAACCGTTTTTCTGCAATATTGCTGAGCATCTAAACGAGCTCGTTGCCCGTTTTTCCTGCGCTTCATTTGCCGCGTTTGATTGCATGACATTTCTGTTCTACATGGTGACCTTTGGTAGAAATGGCTTAGTTTCAGCATGCACAAGCTGAATTGCCGAGACTTTAGACATGGACCGCTATTGGACTTCAAAGGAATATGGCTACATCCTTCTGCTCCAACCAGAAGATGTATGGTCTATGTCGTGTCACCCGTCCACTGTTCGTTTGTTCCCACCAAATGGGAAGGTGAAACATTATCTACCGTTCACCCCTGGCAGATACGGAGAACCATACAAGACTGCGCGCACAACGATGTCAACGACACAAGCACCAGTACCTCGCGCTTACAAGCGCCACGGGGAAATTCGCTGGAGTGAACTCCTCTCTCCTTGCGATTGGTTCCATCACACAACGCTCAATGTCCAAGCATGAAACCTGGTGTCCGCACCAAACCAGCTCTGCGCTACCTGTACTTGATCCCCTAGACTACCTACTGTAGGTGCTTGGTTCGAAAACGTACTTGGCGGTGGTACCCCGTCGAGATTTCCATTCGATTTCTTCGAGGAATCACAAACGAACCACACCGAAAGCGCGTCCCTCGATGGTCAGCTTCTTGCTGGCATAAACTACATGCAATTGAAGAGCAGTTCGTTACTTGCGAATTCAACAAAAAAGTTGCAACGACAGATGAATCGAGTAAAAAAAAAGAATATTTAACTACGCGTCACGAACCCATACACCGACAGGTCATTTCCAATATCCCCAGGACTCAGTATGTCCCGGGCTGCTTCCAGAGAACGCTCCTTTGCTGCTGGAACATGGGCACGTGCAAGTGCTGCAAATGCAACTGTAACTGTTGCATATCCCGGAAGGTGGGCGAGATCGAAGAACACCGGCGAGGGGGGGCAGTTGTGTCGTGTCGTTCTTGGTGCCGCACCAACTCGAATTTCGCACGCCCAACACTTGGATTGGCCGATTGGTATCATATTTACTACATTTCTAAGTGCCGGCAACATACATGCAACACTGTCTCCCGCTAAGTGTTCGCATCTGCCTTTCATTTTCTCTGACTCTCTAAGCGTGGTCGCCCCGGTGGTCTAGTTGGTATCCTCGAAACCTTCTAGAGGTCAGGTCAGGGGTTCGAATCCCGGCGTAAGCGAGCTTTTCTTGCAATGTGAGTTTTTCTCTCGCTTCCGCTTCTGGCCCAGTGGATAGCGCTAGTTCGTGTGTACACTGGGAAGAGAGTGCTAAACTCTTCTCGCATTAATAATCGACGGCAAAATACCACAGGAGGGGAGGGTAGAGAGGGGCTCTTCTGTGTGACCACGGGTTGGAGTAAACGGCACTAGTGTGCTGTGAGCGCTGATGTGAAGTGAAGACAACAAAAAAAAAGCGTAGGCAAGCGATGACACATCCTATTTGTCATTTTTTCTGTGTTGAGTCGAGTTGCCCTACTCTCTCTCTCTCTCTCTCTCTCTCTCTCTCTCTCTCTCTCTCTCTCTCTCTCTCTCTCTCTCTCTCTCTCTCTTTCTCTGTATACTGCTGCTGCCTCTGCTGCTGGTGCTGGTGGTGCTACAGTACCTCGATGCGAAAATGGCGGCCGACGAGAGCACTTACACGTGGGTAATGGAGAACCGGTTGGAGTACAACAAGTGAGTAAAAAGAAGGGTAAAGCTGTGAGCGGGGAGGTGGTGCGCGACAGTTGGTTGTAGGGGCGGGTAGTGGTTGCGATTCACCTCATCGGCCCTTGGCATAATCGGCTCTAGACCTCGGGTGTACTTGGATGGGGGGATGGTGTATGTACTGTAGCGCACACCGAAGAAATGATCCCGTGTCATTTTGAGAGAAGAGTCACACTCACTCGCACGTCTGCGAGGCGTCGCCATGCGCTATGATCGACTTGCGTGCTTTCAAACCGATGGCGACGAGAAAAGCAAAAAAATGTCAGCCTTGATGGCATGTCTTTCACTAGATTGTGCGTTGTGTGGTAAGCATTTTTTACTCATGAAGCAGCGCTACCTCCCTGTCTCTGCGTCTGATCGTCATCATCATCGCCCCTGTTGACTGCACACCACGTACACACAGCGCGATGGTAGTTCCCAAGGGGCAGCTGGTCGACTTTTTATGCTGCAACTTTCAGGTCGCAGATAGCGCCCACGTGCAGTACTTCGACAATGACATGTGAGATAGTAGTGCGATAACGGTCACTCGCATACTTCATCTTATCCATAGTTGGCTGCGGCTGCTTGTGTGCCGTACTCGGAGCGACCATGAAGTACTGTACTCGAATTTTCGTTTTTCGGAAATCAGAGTCACCCGTGTGACTACAACCACGCATTGTTTGGTACAGCCTGTGGGTGGCGTGGTGGGACTCACTGATAACATATTCAATGTTGAAAACCCTTTGAGAATGTTTTTTGGTTCTATCGTACAACAGTTCGCCCCACATTCCCATGAGGTAACGTGCGCTTGCATGATCATCGCCGAACCATACTACAGTGCTAGCAGCCAAAAATACCGTGGATGAAAGCGGTGCTATTCATAAGCAAGGGTTGCGCTATCCATCATCCCGACAGTACGAAAAATGCGAGACACTTCCAACTTGGAGTGCACCGCGTGCAGCGATGATAATAGATGGAAATGCCGATACCTGGTTAATACCTCGTACCTTATCCTTGCTCGTAGGTGTCTACAGGCTATCGTCACCCGCACGCCCACACCGCTATGCCATACACATCCCAACAACTCCAAGCTCCCTCTATCTATGTACAGTACGTACCGCAGACCTGCCTGAGTGCGCTCTAACAAACGCATTCTTACTCAAAGTCACAACCAGCGCCGCACTTGTAGTACTGTTTGCAGTCTCCAAATTCAAGTCCGAGCGTCGCCATGTATGGTGATCTAACTTGCGAAAAGCCTTACAGGGTGACCTGATGAATTTGTTAAAGGTTCGACTATATCACCGTGGAGAACTCACCGACGGGCTGCTCTCGCTGGTGCTGCGGCACGCCTGGCGACGCAATCGTATTCAAGACGGCTTGTTGCCTCTGTCGCACGGCCAAATACTGCGGGATCGAGAAACATCGCATCAACGTGAAGACCGGCGACGGGAAAGAAATTTCGGATATCATTACGACAGCTCGCGACAACGCACGTGCAAAAATGGACTGACTACTGTGCTAATTTTGGTCTGTGATGGCTTGGTTTTGTTGAGGGGCGCGAAGGTTCTTGCTGAATATTATCCCACCCCCGCCATTTGTGACGGCGAGTTCAAATGACGATGCCTTTGCGCTATGCATGCCATATATGGTAATAGACGACACACATGGAAGCGGCAAAAATGCCGCCTCTCCAATACGGTGGCACACCGATAAGAGTGTGAATTTGGCGAAGCGCCGCCACCAGCGATGGATTCGAAAGTGGAGAGAGCCTCTAGTCTCCTGCACACGTGATCGAGGTTTTCGTGGAGGGAAGGGCTCCTACTGTACTTGTATTATTGTAGACCATCGGTCTGGAGAAGGGAGACAATTTGCTTTGAGCGTTCAAATTACGGTCCGAAGTGCAATGACATCGGAAGTTGGCAACATGGTTCCAATGGCACGTATGAGATGGGATAGCCATCACGCACGAGCAGGTTCGCTCAACGTGCGTGCAGGGGAGCTGGGCGGGGGCGGGGCGAGAGCTAACACTGAACTGCAAAATCGTTTTCGAGGGAGGGAGAACCCCGTGAAAGTACCACGACGATGTCGGCTTGGAACTCGTGGCACTGTAGACCCTCAAATCAGGCAGTCAAGAGGATAACGTTTACGAGTCAAACGGGCACACGCTGGGGGCGAATCCTAGGCCAATAGAGAGAAACGACCTGGACGGTAGTTGGTCAATATTTTCGAAACATGGAGAAACCAAAGGTTGGGGCTGCTTGCCCCCTTGGCAGTGCCCCCGCATTTGCTAGCAGGATGCAGTCAGCCAATAGACAACAGTGTTCAAGGCAACAGTGGGGCGTGTGAGAGTCTCCCGTCGGTTTGTTCACACAGCAGATTCGCAGTCTACCGAGTGAAAATCTCGCATTTCGGGAATAAAAGCGCATGTGTACTAGTCTCGTTGATCCTACACACACCACGTCCGGAAGGGACTGCTGAACCTTCCTCGCGTTGAACATTGGGTCTCCCACACTTTCTTCAATTTTTCTAAAACGCCCATGGATAGCCCGTGGGCAGCCCATGGGCGACCCATGGACGACCCATGGAAAGCCCATGGGCGGCCAATGAGAGTCCTTCAACCCGAACCAGTGCATTCCTAAACAGTAGATTATCTGCTTTAAAACGAGCATTTTAGCGGATAATAACCCCAACCCTAACCCCAAGCCCACACGATACGTGCTAGGTTGGCGCTGCTGGCTAAGGTCTAGGTTGATATGCCGGTGGCGAAGTTCTAGGTTGAAGTGCCCACGGTGGGCACTCCATCGGCACTTCATGGGCCGCCCATGGGCCCCATGGGTCTCCCATGGGCGATTTAGCAAAACTAGGAGTGTGGGAGATTGGAACATTATGGGCAACCATTGCAGGAGGAAGATTGAGCGATTCTTCTCCTGAGTGGCCCCGGCTGATGCGTCGGAAAGGCAATGTAGGGTGTTGACTGGCGAACAGACAGATGGGATGAAAAGCGAGGTGGTTGCAGCACTCCAAAGCTATCGCTGCGGTTCGCGTAAAAGTTTGCCGCGAAGGGCTTAAGCGAAACGACTGATTCTGGTGAATTTCCAGTCCCAGCTTGAGTCTGCGGCGTGTCCTTCTGTAGAGACCCGGCTGAAGTCAGCCTCCCGGCGTTGCACAAAGATGTGCGCACACGCGTACGCCCTCGTGGGCGTAGTCGAAGAACTTCTGTAGCCGTTTCCAATACCAAGAACCAGACACGAGATCGCGTGGAACGGGGACGACTGGAACACAAACACTTGACGTTAACAAAAAAAACAACCCGGCAAGGCTTTACCCCTTCGTGAGGCTTCCATGGATTCTGGCCATCAATGACGATCATTCCGGTCAGGAGTTGTCGCGGAAGGGACGATTTTGATGTCCCCTGAACAACATACAAACTTGCAAATGTGGTCAGTGAACTTGCCTGTGAACAAAAAGGAACGCTACAGTGAACCCGGGGCATACGTCGGGACGGCGACAGTGAAATACAGAGTTCGCATATTGGCCTAAGGGCCGTCAACCTCTGTTCACTGATCATGTTTCGCTGCTTGTTGAACACCCAACGATAGACTACTGACAGGATTGTGGTATCAAGGACTGCACGCTAACGCGTACTCGGCCGGCGCCGTGGCGTTCACCCAATGACCGTTCTACGTGGCAGGGTGTGGTGGGTGGTCGTCACGGCCCCGAGCCCAAGATAGCTCGTATACCTACCGAAAGCGCGCTTCCATCTCTAGCGGGACTTCTACCATCTGTAGCTTGACTTCTCTCTCTCCTCTGCCCCCACTTCCTATCGGCGATACTGAACGAGGTTGGGATAGTCCCAGTATGCTATAGTTTCAGAGGGTAAAGAACTAAGCTAAAGGACACTCCGCGCGTCCCCGGCCTTTTCCGGCAGCGCCCTCCAAGATATTCGCCGAGCGAAAAAGTTGGCAAAGAGACGTTGCGAACAACTTCCATCACAAAAGCCCACTTCCTCCTAGACTGATGGATAAACCCACCCACATACCAACACCGAAGCGGGCGTGACCAAATATTTCGGGGGTTCACGCAGCGTGCCCAACTCAGCCACCCGGACTACAGGCAACGTGCGCACCTGCACTTCAGGCTTTGTATGAAAAAAAACAACGCGAGCACGAGAAAAAAGAGTCTTACACGCCTAAACCGACACGGTAACGTCGCCCACGTCCAAACACACTCACGCCTGCAAAACGTTTCGTCACAGTTCTCCCTGTACCCCCGTCTCTCCCTCACCGCCCTCTCCGAACCCAAACTCCTTGAACGCGCGCAAGATGTTACTCCGGACCATGAACAGTGTCCGTTTCTGAGCGCTGATTGTCGCGCCGCCGCCGCCGCCGCCCCCCCCAAGCAAGCCTTCCAACCTCTTGAGCTCCTTGGCTAGGTAGCCGTTGCCCTTCTCGGACAGCTTCTGGGCCGCGCGCGCGTAGTGCCCCGCGGAAGCGGCGGCGTCGGATCCTTCCTCGCCGTACCCGGCCTTCGCGGCGGCCTCTTCGAGGCTGGCCTTGAGGCCGGCGAGGGGGTCGGCGAGCCCGGAGCGGGAGGCCAGCACCGCGTCGAGGACCTCGAGGCGACCGGCGCTCCCCGCGAGGCCTCCGTCAGGGGTTCGGGATGTTCCCGCCTTGTGCATCCCGCCAACAGCAGCAATAGAGGGGGTGCTTTTTTCGGTGGATGGTTTGCTGCTGCTTAACACGTTCCGCGTTCTTTTTTTGCGCAATTGTTCACGTGTGTCGGCCGGCAGGTTGGCTATGAAAAGAAGAGAAAATGCTTCACTCTAACCGACCGATTCGTGTTCTTTCATGGGCATCGGTTTGGCCCCTTTCGTATAATGGCCTCTGGTGGCGACACGATGGTCTGGCCGCGAAAAGCAACGGCTCTCAACCCCAAGTCTCAACACTAACGTGGCCCACAACGCCATACTGCAAAAGCGCACCACTCCGCAAGACGCGTAGCACGTGTTGCATACAGCGCACTGCTGCTGCACTCACACTTACAGCAGGGGGGGGGGGGGGGGTGTACTCATAGTCGTGCATGCCGTAGTCGTTTGACCATTGACCTCGCATCCCTACAAAGCCGGGACGGAGCACGCCGGGTTCTCACCGGACCAGGCTCTCAGCAGGGGGGGGAGAAACGTGACCTGCAATGGTCGTTTCACCCGAGGAACACCCTCACCTTGTCGTTGAGGAACTCAACGAAGGACTTGAGATCTCGACCGCCGCCGTAAGCCTCTGCCTCGCCGTCTCCCGCCGGGAAGTACTTGAGCGTCGGGAACCCGGTGACGCCGAATCGGCCGCCGAGGTCCTTCTCTTCTACCGCGTCTACCTGTTGCGTGCACAGCAGTGTGTGCGCGCGGCGGTGAGCAATGATCGCGGCAAGGAGCAGCAGCAGCAGCAGCAGCAGCAGCAGCAGCAGCAGAAGGTGGCGGTATGAGCGATCGTCGTCGGTGATTGCGCGGTTCGAGGGCCGTGGTGGTATCGGTGTGGGTGGAGGTGGTGGCGACGGCGGCGGCGAGAGGAGGGGAGGCGGTGGCGACGGCTGTGTGAGGGTGTGTGCGGAAAGCTCCTTCCTTCAAAGAAAGGCGACCCGCGTTGCGCTGACACGTCGCACCGGAAAGAAGTAACAAGAAAACGAAAAGAAACAAAAAATGGCTGCAGTAGAGGAAAATAGATACATTCAGAGGAGTGGGGTGGGTGGGGGGGGGGATATGTACGCGGATAATACCGCCCGAGGTACACGACTACAACCAGGCGCTCAGAACACCTTTGCCACGACGACGCTCGTCTCCGCCTGGAAGACTTTCCCGAGCTTCTCGTACACGGGGGCGAGGGACTTGCAGTGCCCGCACCACGGAGCGTAGAACTCGACGAGCGCGTGCTTGGTCGGGTCCATTACGATGGAATCGAACGTCTCCAGCGTTAGGTCCAACACGGCGGAGGGAGCCTGTTGTTTTTTTGCGGATTTTTGTTTTTCGTTCCCGGCGTTTTGGGAGGCGAGAAACGCGAAGGGGGGGGGGGACGGGCGGAAAGAGGGAGACGAGAAGGGTATGCAAGAGGACGGTGGAACACAAATACGCTCCGCACAACGAGAGGGACTGGACTGCCCCGGAGAAAGACACACGATTCGCTACAAAATTTGGATCAACTGGCCGCTGCGTGGTTGAAACCACAAGGGTGAGGGGGGCAATACTGCTGCAACGGCTTGCAACACCCGCCGCACAACCACACCTCCTACATCTCCTGCATGTGTGCAGGCAGCACCCCACCACACACGGATGCTTGAGGGCCTTCTCCAGCCCGCATTCAACGGTACGTCAGTTGCATACCTCCGCGGGCTTCCTAGCCTGGACCCCCGTCTTGTCGGTGATCCACTTCCCGAGCCCGTCCGCGGACCGGGGCGCGTTTACCATCTCCGCATCCGACGGGGCGGTCTTTCCCTTCGGCATCCACTTGATCGTCGGAAACGCCGTGACGTCGAACGGCACAGCCGTATCCTTGTGGGCCACCGCGTCCACCTGCATTGTTGACGAACAAGTAGTTCGGAACGGTGTGGTTTGGGGCGGGCCAAGGTACGCACGCCGGTGTGGAGGCATTAATGGGTCCCGAGGCGGCCTGCTGCTGCCCCAAAGCTTGTGCCACATATGGTTCCCCTTCCGAAAACGAACGTATAGCCCAAACGAGGGTAAGGGAATGCACTAGTTGTTGAAGGGGCCCTGCAGAAGGGACTACAATGGCCAAAGCCGGACGTAGAAACAGGCCTGATGTCCAAGCCTCACTCACCCGCATGGAACTGCTTCGAAACCAGCTGCACCACAACACGTACCATGCCGAAACTGGACGTCGCCACCCACCCCCGCCCCGACCCCTTGGTGTGCGTGGTTGGCGCTCTTTCGTCAACAGCTGAAACGATCGCCCAACATCTTCTCCACCTTGGGGAACAATCTCTGTTAGAGCCGAGTGCCCCCTCTCTCTCTCTGTCCCTCTCTCTCTCTCTCTCTCTCTCTCTCTCTCTCTCTCTCTCTCTCTCTCTCTCTCCATATCTCTCTCGAACACGCACCTTAGCGATCACGATGCCGTCATCCTTACTAAACTGCTTCCCGAGTTCCTCATACTCCGGCGCTAGCTTCTTGCAGTGGCCTGTGCGGGAGACAGCATCATGTGCCAAGAGGATTGCAGATGAGAGGCGAGAGACGGGCCCAAGGAAGGAGATTGGTGCGAGTCTCACAACGTTTGACGCATGAAACAGGGTCAGCATCTCCATATCAGCGACCGTGACTGTACCACCTTCGGACGTAAAAGCAGCCCGACACAGTGAACTTCCGATACACGGGCGTCGTTCGTTTTCTTCATGACACACCGCCAGATCACCGCAGGTCAAGATCAAAATATTTTGTTAGGGTGTGGTTGCAGATATTTGTGCCGTGCGCGGGCCATGTGTTAGAACCACGCACAATCGTGATTGCGAAACCCCAAACTTCCAAATCCGTAAGACCCTGAGAACGTCGAAATTTGGAAACGACTGATGCCGAAATTTTGGAACGGGTCGGTTCCAAATTAACACAAAGAAAAAGGAAATCAGAGGCATCAGAATTTGGAATTTGGAAATCTGACAACTGGGCCTTATAACGCTCGTATCAATCGAAATGGCAACGACGTCCTCCGTAGTGTTGAGGGGCTCCAGGCGCGTGTGGCGGTACTTGGTCTATCTTCTCCCGCCCTTGCTGGCGAAAGAGCCAGAACAGAACTAACGCACCAACACCTTCAGCAAAATGGATGGCGTGACAGTACCTCCTTGAACTCTTCACCCTTATTCCTTTCATAGGGCGCATTTTCGTCCTTACGGACACCCCAACGAACTACTGTTCGGCACAGAACCCGACCTGCACACCACCCAACACAACGGTGACATGTCACTCAGCAGTGTTAGGAAGTCATCTGGTCGTGCATTGGCCGTGACGATGCAGGCCGTCTTCCGGTTCTTTGACAGACAAGGAGAGCGGATTGCCCAACGATTTGTGTCACTCTCACCACACCACGGGGCGTAGAACTCGAGGAGAACGTTTGCACTTCCATCCACCACACTCTCGAAATTCTGCAAAAAATAATAAGTTCGTATCCGGGAGGGCACACGGGTGGTGCGGGGTGTACGGGGGGGGGAGTTAGCAGCTCGCAGTCCCCTGGTTGCTACTTGGAAGACGACCCACTCGAGCCGTTGGCCAGATGTACTCGAGAAGGTGGGCCGATGTTGTGTGCATGAAAAAAGAAAAAAGGCTTAGATTTGAGACCTCCACAAAAACGGTTACTTCTTCGTACTACACCAATATGCGTTGCAACCACTGGTCGTGACATAAATAAGACGCTGAGCCTATCCAACATCGACGGTTGTCTGTACGGCAAGTTGTACGCGGATTCCCGCCCGAAAAAGCGACCGAGACGAGATAGATATCTCGAGAACGGGTGTTGAAGGACTATCTGGTAGGTGATCAGGAAGAGTTGGACAGGTTTAGGGCGCCGTATTGGAAAACGTGTACATACCTTGATGAGATAGTGAGCCGCCATTCCAGAAGAGGAGATCTGCACAACCCTAAATGTTGCTAGAAATATGCCAAATGCACCGTTGTAGCACAAATCTCCTGCGCGGAAAGCCATTGACTGTCACCTGTCAAAAACTGCCCTAGGTTGCGTAAGATACCACAACCCCCGGGTCGGTTTTCAAGCTCGATTGACGTAAGGGGCGGAGAGATGGCACCCCCCTAGACCGATTTTCAAAGGCCGGTTGCTCCACAACCAAGCGCTTCCACCAACACCACAAATGGTGGTTCTGGAAACATATCGTCGAGGGTTTTCCCGTACACGTACCGGGAGGGCTCTTTCAGCACCCCGATTGGTTGTGGAGCAATCGAGCTTTGAAAGTCGGTCTGGGGGAGTGACATCTCTGCTCCTCGCACTGCTGTAATCCACCACGAAGACGATGCTAACATCAACTTCCGCGTTCTTGGAAAGCTCTCGACGACAAGGTTCCAGCACCCCTACTTTTTCCATCACCCTTCAATGCTCGTGCTGCGGAGTAATTGGGCTTGACAATGGGTACCTAACGCTTTCATCACCCGCTAGTTTTCGGCTGCCAGGCAAAGTGGGCAGGCTGAAACAACAGGCTGACTTTTTATAGTATTTCTGCGATCCGTGTCTTTAGCAAAACCAGGACGGCAGGCTATCCTCCGCGTAACTACAATAGCTCGCGTGCAGTGCCATCTGCATATCTGCATACCGCATGTACTATCTATGTAGTCTAGCCGCTAAGGCTGATCCTTGCTGATCCAGCCAACCAGCGCAGCGGAGTGTTTATGGACGCGTAGCTAACGGAATAGTTACCGTATATGACACAAGATAACACACCCCCTGGACCGATTTTCAAAGCTCGATTACTCCACGACGAAGAGGATGCATAAACGAAACAATACGTTTTCGAACAGCTCTCGACGAGACGGTTCCAACGCCACCATTTTCGGCGCTGTGACTCTTCCTGCTGTTGAGAAATTGAGCTTTGAAAATCGGCCAAGGGGGTGTGTTATCTTGTGTCATATACGGTATGTACACTCACCTGGCCCGTGACATCCACAACCTCCGCCTGAATGCAAGCACTGAAGGTGGCCAGGGCAAAACTACACCTCGTGAAGATCGATCGGCCCACCATGATTCCACACGGCCAGTACGCCACACAACCCCTTCTATCCGTGACGCCGTGAGGCTGTGGGCGCAGCTGTGGCGCGCGGACATGGTTCGCGAGGCGTCATTCTGGGGGGGGGGTGGAACGAAATCTCCGAAAAAAAAGCGAGAGAGGCGTGTGTTTGTGTGTTTGTGTTGCGAGAGCGCCCCTGTCGCCCACACCGGCGCACCAAGAGAGACAGACACCAAGCGACAGAGAGAGAGACACACACACACGAACGGGTAACACTCGAGAGCTCGAGAAACATGTCGTCCTTGGCTGCAGAGTCCAACGGTGAGTCCCACGTTTGCTCACAGGGAACAACGGAACCTTTTATCAAGTTGCACTGAGAGGCGCGCACGCCGTTCGGAATGTGTGCATGCGGAGGGTTTGCGGACAGGAAACTGGGGCAACACCGCTGTAGGGCCGAATTGCAGCTGTCGCTCCTGCTGGTGGCCCTACTACAGCAACTTGTGCAACGCTACTTCAGATGCACACATGAATTGCAAAGCCTGTGGAGCCAGGGCGTTTTGGAATGCACGTGTCCCACAAAAAACCCGTCGGATATATTCTCGTCCAACAGCAGCGGCAGCAGCGGAGACATCAGTACTGCGGAAGCACAACTGACCGTGCTTGAGCAGGATATCTTCAGCAGCACCTAAATTTGATAGACAGAGATTGTGTGGACTGCTGTGAAGCAACCTTCATCATTCTGAGTTCTTTTGGCGTTGAAGATAGACTATACCAAGGGTCTCCGGGCGCCCTCGCCCTCAGCGTTAGGCTGACTATTTTATGCGCGGCGTATCAAAAGCGCGAAGCTGAACAAACAAGAGGTTCCGCCTGGAAGTAAATGTTGCCACATGATCTTTGGGTTCATTTTAGTTGAGTACCTTTTGAGGTTTTTAGGTAAGTTAGCCAGTGGCCACGGGAATCGCTCGGTCAAGCGTTTGGTCAGTACATGTTGGACTCAAAAGGCCAGTGAGTTGTAAGCATAGAATGTCTCGTTGTACGACCAGAGGGTAGCCTCCAGATTTGTTCCGGTAGGGTATCCGACGGTAAGCGGGCATATCCGACACGAGGCAGAGCCGTAGCAAGCAACAGACAGCGTACAAGACAGTGTACAAGGGCGCGTGCCTGACGCGGTGATCTTCCGCCACGTTTCTGTAGCCACACACATCTGCATCATGTATCTATCATTTACATGAAAAGCTTGGAGACTGCGTCACCTCAAAAGACATGACATCATCGAAACTATAATTATTGATCCCAAGCAAGCAGGCGTACCACAATCAATCCTACCTGCCTCACTATCCCCACTTGGGAGGTTGCTTTCAGGCAAAATTGAATCGTTTTCGAAGTGTATATACGGGTCGATAGCAGTTAGCTATTAATTCCTTTTACGTTAGAGAAGTCTACAGCAGCAAAACCGAACATGGGCGAGCCGCGAGCAATACAACCATCAGGGTGGCCCAAGGTCAGTATCTACTACTGTAGTTCGGCTTATCTACACAGAGTTTACGGCAATACAAAAAAAAAACGCCGTCATCAGTGTATGCAGTCATGGTTGATGAGTTGGCGTTCTCCAACAAAGCCTCTTGTCCATTGAGCTTAGCGATTCTTTGAGTTCACAGTACAGCAGCGTAGAGTCTAGTAGAGTCACCATGGTGCAGGAGACTTGGGGAGATTTTCGAGTTTTTCAGGTGCTGTAACTCGCCTCGACCTTGGAGTGTCAAGCTCCCGACAGGGGTGTTGTGATCGTAAGATTCGCACGCTCAGGTCGGCGAAGACAGCCGAAAAGATGTTTTAACGCCGATTAAAACCGATTCACCACACCTCAACGACTAGCCGAATGACTGCAACAGGCGTGCATTCATGGTGCTGCAACTCTACTCGCCTTTCGAGTCTCAAACTCGCGACAGGACCGCTGTGATTGTTAGACTGACGCCCTCCAGTGGGCGAAGACCGCCGAAAAACAAGTCTAAAGGCGATCGCAGACTGATGCACCGAAATAAAACGCCTTGCTTTTAGAGTGCGATAATGGTTGAACTCGTGCGTCTCAGGCCCCAGACATACTTTTAGTTCAGTCGTACTCGTCTTGACCGCTGGTGTGAGAGCAGGAAGAGTCTTGTTGGTACCGCAGCACAGCAGTAGGTCGGAAGACAGAACACGACTGCTGTTAAATCAATGAATGGGCCGGTTTTTTGTTTGTCGGCAAAAAACAATTTAAACGCGTTGAATGGCACCCTTTGTGCTGTGGATATACGCAGCCATGGGCCTCCAAGAGCTCCGCGTGAGACATTTCCGACCGTCCCCACTTCGATGTGTAAAATCTTCTTGCCGGAAGGGGAGAAAACAGACACCCCGCGCACAGCGGTAACGAGATCCATTAGATGTGAATACCGCGAGCCGCCTTTCCGCGAGCAAACGAAAGCGTGCGAGTTGTGAAACAGCGAGCGAACGGCCGCAGGGCGAACGCTTCTACGGTTTGGGCTCGGAAGGCGGGCACAGCAGTCACACACCAATACGGGGGGCAACACCTTCGAAAGCGCGATCGTTCATGACGCCATGAATCCGCCAGGGCAGTCTTTGGTGGACTCCTGCTGATGATCCTACTTTAGGTCCGTCGCTTCGGCGGGTGATTACACGGCACCCCTGTTGCTCGGGCATGTGTCGGCCACCTTCAACGAAAGACTATTTTTCAACGCCCGTTTCCGTGCTAGTCGCCCACGCCAGGATCGAAGCATCGGGGAAATCGCGCACGGTTGTCATGGTGATGTACCCGTTAGCAGTTTGGCAGCTCTGCCATGATTGTTCGGCAAACAGCCGGCTAGCTTGCGAGCATTATTTTTTTATTTCTCTCCCGTCGTTCGCTCTTTCTTGCCGGCTGACTCCTCTTTTTTCGCGGGCAATAGGCTCGTCCGCCACCGGTGCTTGGGCCTGGACCGACATCGGGAAGAGCGTCGTGGTGGAACCCCACACCGAGGGCCAGAGAAAGGTGATGTGTCTTCCATCTCACGCACCAAACGCGCCCACTCCATCGGTACCATTCCGCTAGAAAGCGATAAACGTTTCTGCCGTGCGGCTCAGGCGTGTGAGGGCCAGGGGCGTTTCGCGGTGTGCGTTCGTGCGAAGGCACGTGTGCGGTTTTGGGAGCCGCAAGCTAGCGCCGCAGTTGCCGAATGCGCGTGTTTTCGAGTACATGGAGACAAGGAACGCACCGTGGAGACGGAAGCGTTGTTGCATCTCCACCTTTGGCTACCACAAGCCCCGTATCGTAGAGAGGATACCAGACATCCTGGTTCGGTATTCCGAATTCGTAGACTGAACTGCCTAAGCAAGCAGGAAACGCATGACGGGAGCAGAGAAAAAGGCAGGGGGGGAAGGGCTGCCGGACGTGTTTTAACACCGCGAGAGAATGCGTTTTTTATCCCCTCTGTGCCGGAACGACATGGAACCCCTTTGAAATCTTCGTTGCGCTATCGATCAATGGAAAGATACGGATTCGTGTACGGCACACACACGGTGCCACGCAGTCAGTCTCTCGGGTTAAGGCGGCAAGGTATCTCCGGAGAAGGAGCCCTACGACTGTATCACGTAGAAATAGTAACCACCAATGTCTTATCCACCCCCTTGGGGGGCCGAGTTTCGAAACTCGATCGCTCAATGCTGGGAGAGGACGCGTGCCGGTGCTGGAAGGCACGGACGGCCGTGGAAATACTCGTTGCTCCAACCCTGCGTGTCCCCTCTATCTGCTGCTACGTTCTACCCGCGTACCCCTGCTGAAATGCCCAATTCAATTTCCGAAGACTGCACCAATATGTGCGTACCATTTGGCGTATTTCACCCTCTTGGTAGTGGAGAAAGCGGGCCTTGAACGAGACAATGTCCCCAAGGGGGGTGAGGTGCACATGGACGAATGCGGTACTTTCTCACCGAAACCTGTTCATAGAAGCACGCGGCGAGCGGAACAAGGTCGTTCGTCCTCGGACGATATGCTATGTCTGAGGAGGACATTCCCGTTGCCGTGGACGGTGTTGTGGGAAAGGGGGTAATACTAAAACGCAGCAGGGTAGCCTTGAGGTGTAGCACGATGTGGGCTTTCTTTGGACGATCACAAGGTTTTTTCGTTCTCTTGCCTTTTTTTTCCCCTCTTCTTTTCTTGTGCTTGTTCTGCGTGGTCGTGGCAGCGTTGTCCGCCCCGTGCATTTAGGCGGGTCCCACTAGCTTGCCGGTGAGCGACACCGACCGAGGCCGCGTGAGATGTTGCTCGTTTTCCTCTGTATGTATTTCTTTTCTCTCGGGACTGCTGTTTCCCGTTACATCTCTTCATGCCGTGGTTCTCGCTCTCTCTTTCTCTCGTTGACCCCCATGTGTGTGTTTTCTGTTCGTTTTTTTTCTCGGTCGTCGTATTGTACTCCTTTGCGACGTGCTGGCTGCGTGTGTTTACAGGTTTTCATTGGTGGAGGCGCCGGCTTCATCGGATCGCACCTCGCTAAGCGGCTCAAGGGGGAGGGATGGTACGTTGTGTGCGCCGACTGGAAGGCGAACGAGTTCATGGAGCCGAAGGTGCGGCATGAGAGAATGGAATTTGAATACGTTCCTCGTTCCACGTTTGTTGAGGCTCTACTTTTCGCCGCACATCACCGTTTGCTACTCCCCCCGCTTCGAGCATTGACGTATATCGACCAGGCTTCACAGCAAAGGAGTGGTCTCAATGATCTCGCGTTTGTATTTCTCCTAGTGCGTGTGCGTTGATGCATCGTGTAATAGTCAGCCCTCTTTCGGCGGACTGAAGAACGTTGTGTTTGCTGCGGCTAAGTTATTGCCTCGGGACAAAGCTTGTTTGATGGGTTGTACAGAGTTGGGAGCCCTTTTTTCTCCTTGGGGAGAGTCGAGGGGGTAGTTTCCGGAAGTCGGGATGTGCTTCTCGTACAGGCCATGCGTCCAGCAGTACTGCTGTTGATGCCGTACTTTGTGGTGGCGCTGGGTGCCATCTTTCGTTACCGCCAACCGCGTTGTCCTTTGTACAAGTAGTGTTTATCGTCTCCCAGCTACCACAGCGCACACACACGTCAAGCGCCCCCCATCCCACCCCCCTTGTATTCCAGCTGGCCTTGCAAACCCTACCGATTGTGCTCCAAGCCAAGGAAGTTGGAGACAAGGGTTGAGGACGGTCAGCTCATTGAACACATGTCGACGGGCAATACACGCGACACCGCTTGTCCTGGCACGCAACTGCTGCTGTAGAAGAGTGTTCCACATGAACCTTGTGATTTTTGCCGCCGAAGCTTGAGTTCCTGTTACCTCTATGGCCTACGAACAGATGCCAGTCACCCATATCGTAGACACTACACTCGTTGGTTCTAGGTTTTAACAGATGCAAAGTGGTATTATTTTCCTTTTTTGCTTGTATTGGGACTACGTTTTTCAAGTGCCCAGCTATGTGGTTATAGAGCGAGAGGTTTTGCCTGCGTTGGGTAATTCCCTGCCCCCACAACCCGCCCACGAAAGTGGGCGAAGCCTGTTTTTATGTTCGAATCGCCTCGAAGCACTACCTTTGGTGCAACAACAACGCAGCGTAGCCCTTCCCGCGTCATTGATTCACGCCCTCTTTGTTACTTGGGCTCCGCCAACGCTCACTGCAATGCCAACCGACGCCGACTCTCCTTTTGGTTGTTTTGCGCGCGCGCACGCACCACCGCCGCCGCCGCCACCACCGCCGCCGCCGCGGATCCAGGAGTTCTGCAGCGTGTTCGCGCACACCGATCTGCGCAGCCTGCCCAACTGCGTGTCGGCCTCGGTCGGCTGCGAGCAGGTGTACAACCTCGCGGCCGACATGGGGGGTATGGGTTTCATAGAGAGCAACCAGTGCGTCCTGCTGTTCAACAACACCATGATCAGTGAGTAGTCCTCGGCTCATTTTTGGTGTTTGATGAGCGAGGGGAAAGTCCGGGAGGGGGAAAGGGGGGCAGAGAACAATGTTGACGAACTAGCCGCCATGTAGGGTACACGATGATTTCTAAACGTTTCAAAGGTCCCAAGCGTGCTTTCTAGAAACATGTATACAATCCTAGAAAGACTAGACACCCGTTTCGTTCTCGTTTTTCCCCAAACCCGCATCCCCCACCCTCCTTGTTCCTCTTGTGCCCTCTGCTTGTTGCAGGTTCCAACATCCTGGAGGCCGCGCGACTGAACGAAGCGAAGCGCTACTTCTACGCCTCGACTGCCTGCGTGTACAACGAAGACCTGCAGCTGGACCCCAGCAACCCGGGTCTGAAGGAGGCCGACGCTTGGCCGGCCAAGCCTCAGGTAAGCTAGATGTAAGGGCAAGAACCGGAGGGTACCAGCACTTGGTCGGCCACAAGGGAGGACGCATCCCCATTCCTTTGTCAGCCAGAGTGCGAGGCCATTGCCTCAACCTTAAGAACCCGAAGGCTAGAAACGCACCAGCCACTCAGTACGCTCAAGCTCAGATTTACACCCTTGTGTCCACTGTTACTCCGCGGTCTCCTACCTTTCGGAGGGTCCCCGCGGACTGTGTTGAAAGCGTGGCTATGCGTTCTTGTCGCTCCGAGGCTGTGCATCTTAGTAGCGCGGCCGATCCTGGTACCAAGAGAGCAAACACGCACATCACTCGCATGCACTCACTCGAGACGTGTGCGCACCAACTACCCCACAGGACACGTACGGCCTGGAAAAGCTCTACCACGAGGAGATGTGCAAGGCCTACGCGGCTGACTTCCCCATCGAGACCAGGATGGCAAGGTACCACAACGTCTACGGGCCGCGCGGGACGTGGAAGGTAAGACATGGATGCAGGCATTTTAGTTTTTTAATTTCACTCGTATATACTTTGAAGGATATGTATTGAAGTATTTTGTTTTTCTCTTGTTTTTGTGGTGAGGCATCTTTGAGGTAGACTCTTCCTCTGCCTGTCTTCTGAGACGTGGCGTGCATGTGCGCGAACGTTTGTGTGTCGTCGTTCGCGCTCAAGTCTTCGCGGTATCGAGGCAATACCGTTGGACCAACCGGCGCGCGTTCGTATGTATGTTTGTTTGCGCGTGAGTGTGCGCCCCCCTGGTGATGTGTGTTGCCGTACCCGAAATAACATGTCTGGCATCATTTGAACCCCCTCTTCCCTCAAAAGCGAGTAGCGTTTTGGTTTGACAACTTTTGCTCGCTAGGTTAGTTCGGGCTCGGTTTTGGAACGGCGTGGTGGGGGCGAGAGAATAGCCGGCATGACTCTAGGTAGGAAACACACCACTTCACGACCTACACGCTTTGATGAGACAACGTCATGTTGTCTGCCCATGCTTGCTGCCCGTCACAGCTCGCATGGAGTTCACCAGGCTCTTCAGTTCGTTCGTACGTCCGCTCATCGATTCATTTAAAAGGACCCCAACTGGTTGAGTACCTTCCTCCTGATCTATTTTTTTTTTCCTGACGGGACATTTCATGGCAACTTGCCCAAACTCAATGCGCGCCCAGTCGATCGAAGAGTTTATAACCTCGACGGAAAACGACGGCGTCGAAGAGCCGTACACGAGCGCCAACGTGTTCATTCTGTGTCCCGATCAACGTACGCAAAGAGCAGAACGCCGGCTACTGCGACTCCGAAGCATTTTACAACCGATTCTCGATGTTCGTTGTGTGTTTGTTAACGCACGCTTTGAATGAATGCAAGGGCGGGCGAGAGAAAGCGCCGGCGGCCTTCTGCCGCAAAGCCATCTGCTCGACGAAGGACTTCGAGATGTGGGGGGACGGGGAGCAGACCCGGTCGTTCATGTTCATCGACGACTGCGTGGAAGGCACGATTCGCATCATGGAGGGCGACTACAGGCTGCCGCTCAACCTTGGCACGGAGGAGATGGTGCGAGAGCTGTTCTTCTTGATCGCAGAAGAGATAGATAGACAGGCAGACAGAAAGACAGTCGGACAAACAGAGGACATTGTTTGAAAGTGGAAGGGGATGCGCGATCGGTAGAGGGGGTGCACTCGGTTGTGTTTTCGTGCCTTCGTTGTTTTTGAGGCGTTGTTCGTGGTTTTTTCTCACGATAATTCTCTGCAGTTGAAACGCTTTATGCGCTAGGTCAGGGGCCGAGCTGGGCGTCGGATCGGAGATGATGAGATGCCGTACCCACTTACAAACTCGGAGAATGTTCAATTTTCTGTTCAGTGCGTTTGCGCAAACACGTACAATGCGCCCGAACGACGCCAACAGCGACCTCAACAATTGTGCTGCTGCTGCTGCTGCTGCTGCTGTGTGTGTTGCATTCTTCGCGCTTCTCTCTCCACGTGTGTACGGCACGAATCGCTTGCCCACAATATTCAGGTCAGCATGAACAAGTTCGCGGCCATCGCTATGGGCTTCGAGGGCAAGGACCTCCCCATTCGACACATTCCCGGGCCCGAGGGGGTGAGGGGCCGCAACAGCGACAACACCCTCATCAGGGAGAAGCTCTCGTGGGCCCCTTCCGTCACCATAGCGGAGGGTCTCCGCAAGACGTACTTCTGGATCAAGGACCAAGTCGAGGCGGAGAAGGCTGCGGGTACCGGGTGAGAGAGTGATTCGCCACGCACATAAACAGACACAAGGCCCCGCTTGCCCCCGCCCACATGCACACAAGTACTTTTTTCCAACGTAGGGTGTGCGACCCATCACAATCACTCATCTCGAGCCGGGTTGATTGAGGTGACAGCGGGGATTGGGTGAGACACCCCGTACAGCCATGCTCTCGTCGTCACGCCGTCCCATCCCCAAGCAGTCTTGCCGACTGGTGCGGCTTGTTTACAATAGCGGTGTACGCACGGCGGGTAGTATCCCCCCGACCCTTTTCCTTCTGTCCAAGGGCGCGTCTTGTTTGTAGCACCGTGCGCTGCACAGGTGGCCAAGCTATAACCGTGTTCCTTTAGCAATGGTAGTGGCGGATCGTTCGCTCGCAAGCCGAGGCCAGCCGTGGAGCCGTGGGGCCCTCTAGACACCCAGTCTGGTTCTCCGTCTGTGATGAACCTATGAACCGATATCTGTCATGCTTGCTCGCCTATTTGCTGAGGTTCGGCGAGTGCAAACCTGATGCTAACAGTGCACAGATGCTGCTATCCCGCCCCCTCTAGCCGTCTGTATTGCTCGTTCCCACGGCTGTCGGAGTAGGATAACGCAGAAGCGCGTCTGGAGTGAGTGTTTTGCCTCACAAGGTGCTATTTCTCTCGGTTTTGTGCTTTTGTCTTGCGCGCTAACAGGAACAACTACGACACTTCGGAAGTCGTCGTTCAGACAACCGAGTCGCTGGAGCAGCTTTCTCACAAGTAGGGAGAGACTCCTTTCACTAGACATGTTGCCATCTCTCTAATCCATGTTTTCCGAGGTGGAGGAGAATTCTGAAGCGCGAGGATTTGACGCGAATCGGTGTCCCGACACGTTAGGCCACTCTGTTCACTTACCTTGGGTTCGTTGTTCCGACCGTCGCGGCGTTCACGTCTGCGGCTTGCCGGGGAAGCGGGTTCTCAAGGAGTGTTGGCGCTGGATTTTCACCCGTAGTAGTAACATATGAAAAAGTATTATACGCGCGGGAGGCGTCGGCCGGTGACATTGCCATCTGTTTTTGGTAGAGGAGTGGTGGTATTCGTAGAGGTTCACTTCCTGCGTGTGTTAGTCTCGATTTTTTTAGACTCGGTTGATTCCATACGTTTTCACCGCTGAGATCGGTGCTGTTGCATTGAGAGGCGAGCTTCTTTTCTGGTTAGTGAGGTCATAGACGGCGTAAGCTTCACTGCTACAGCACACAACTTATTTTCACACGTTTCCCAAGCGATGAGTTCATGAATTTATGTCGAAATCGTTGGATTGTATACCGATCGTAGCTCCGCTTTCCGAGGGCCTTGAACCACGAGACACGCGTCCCTATGTTGGTTTCTCGCTTCGCTTTTTTTGTGATCTGAACCGTTGTCGTCCACGCGCCCCTTTTCGGTACGATGTCTCCCATACCCGACCACTCGGCCGGGGATCTCATGCGTAGGCTCCAGCCTCGTTGATAGTTTTGATGGGGTGGGGAGCAAACGATACCACCATGTATGGCCGTGGGGTATTGCCGTGTCGGCCGGCGTGTGGTACCTCTGCGACTTCGGGACGAAGTGCATCGTCCTTTAGCGACCCCAACCAGGATAGGAGCGGGAGTTGGTGGGGGCAGGGGATGGGGGCGGGAGGCATATGGAGACGGCGATCGTGCGGTCCCGTTCACGTTCATGTTTGTTGCATGTTGTATTGTTGCTCTTTCTTCTCGCTACATTGAGGTGTTCGTATGATAGATACCATTGGGCATGACGTTGGCGTTCGTGCCGTCCGTACATTTATCTACGATATAATCTTCCTTGTGGACGTCATTTTTTTCTCCATGCTACGGAGGAAAACCTTTCCCATAGCGCGACACAAGAGTGTGCTCTCGCCGGAAGAGCGAACACTTGGCAGGAAGTAGACCGCGTCCCAGTCCGGCTCTCTGCAGCCAGGAAGTACAACGCAATGTCGACTTCACCCCCATTTTTACACTCACGAAATTTGGTAGCATATTGCCCAAAACTGAACATGTTACGTTCAATCAGGTATCGGATATGGTCCTTTTTCACTCACTTGCGGTCCGTCGAACAAGCCTGTGTATCCCAGGCTTACCGGTAACACAGAACCTGCCTGCCCTTCTCCCGCGCGAAAATGCGAATACCGTATTGCACAAGGGAGCCTCGGCCGCCATGCCTTCGTGTACCCACTAACGCCGAGCCGGGAACGGCAAGGCCAGCCCTCCAACGGTGGACGAAAACAAAAAACACCAACACGATGGTCGGATATTGTCCGCAATACCAAGAATTGATTCTCAGGTGCATCGAGCAAGGTCCCACAACGGTCAGAATCATTCTGCGTGCTTTGGAAGCACATTTGTTTCACTCCGGGACACAGAAAGACGTCACCTGGATGAATGAAATAACACGTTATGCCCTCTACTGCTATGCGAACGGGTCGCAAGCAAACGATTTCCGCTCTAGTCTAAACCAGATATTTCATCATAAGTTTGCAAATGAACAAATATGCACGTCGTCATCGCAATAAAACGCCGACACCGAACCCGCCGCGATTCACACCGCTGTTGTGCATCTCCCGCACAAGGTGAATCCATGTGATTCCTGTATTCCACCTCATCGAGGACAAAACACTGTCATACTCACGACTTCCCGCTGTGTTGGTTTCGTCTCGAGGTGCTGACTGGCGAACACGGTGCTCCCAAGATGATAAGGGGCTTTCTCTAGATAGCCTAGAATACGCCGAGCCCCCACCATCCACGAGTATTCCTGGGGCTTTTCACGGCCCCCCGCAACAGCATACATATGGCACATATCACGCTTTGCGCATGACTTCATGTTGAGCGTGGGGATGAATTTCCCGAAACGTCGTCCTACCACCGCTGTGCATCATGGTCCCCCAGCGAACACATACTTATCTAGGGACCAGTCCGAACATTGGACGGCAACCACGGCATAGGTCCACGACATGCAGTCACGGTCACCCAAGGCAAGTCAACCAGGACTTCAACAATAAACTTTTGATAACAGCCGACCCGAAACGGACCGCCGGCAAATACCGCCCGACCAAGCAGCCAACGAACATCGATCGGTAGACCGAAGCATCAAGCAAAGGTGATGGAGGAGGCTAGGTCCCAAGCGTAGCAGATCGCGCACAGAATGCACAAGAAGTCCAGCAACACCTCCGCGCCTAGGAAGTTGGCTTTTCAGAAACAAGAATTGGCAGCAAGAACAGGAAGGAGCGACACAACACCCGGAGGACATCATTTGACAAGGACACGTTTGCGCGCGCGTACGTCCTACATTCTCCGTCGATAATCTTGTGCACCACGAACGGAGCAGTACACCGAGGAATACAAGTGACCTCTGTTCACCATCGAGCGACGGCATTAATGATTGGTGCTGTCGCCGTTCGCGGAAGGGCAAAGGGGCGGGGGCGGTGGTGTCCGACAGCTACTCACCCTTCGCCCGTTTGCGCGACCCGTGGGTCATAGGATCGCCCATGAAACGAGGTAAGAAAACACGCGGTGGTTTGGCTCCGTACTCTGAACACTATGTGCCGACAAACGATGAATAACAACTGGTGGGGCGCTTGCTGTCAATCGGTTCGTGGTTCGGATGACGGAGAGGGGAGTGGGGCCTGAGCCGCGTCCATAGGATCAACTCAACAACACATTTTTCCATTTCTCACGCGCAAGGGACGTGTGTATCTTCCCGAGGCAAAGGTGGGACCGATCTCCCAACTTTCAACGCACACGATGTGCGACAACGCAAGTCCAGGAAACCGGGCCGCCCAATTTCATGTTGAAACCTCGCAACGACCTCAACAGAGAACAACTTTACCAGCTACCAGTTACAGCGTTCTACGAACATGGCGTAGTTGAAACCTGTGTTCATCGTGTGTGGATGGATCCAGAGCCGCACTGAACCGACAAAGCTGACGGTCCACGTACGACAGCATTCGTCCGACACTGAAACATTACGTTACCGGCCGGGAGTCGACTGACCTAGGTTTGCCTGCATCTTGGGAAGGTCTTTTTGTGCTGCGACCTTTTGCTTATTCGGCCCTCGCAATTTGTTTTCTACTGCCTGAGGCGAAACGTGATGGTCACAAAAGCAGTAGGAGCAACAGAAGCAGCAGCAGGGGTCATATGAAGTGTCACCTATCGAACGCAAGCAATCTATCCCCCCCCGGGCGTCCTCTACGACCGTGCAGCATGAATTCCTGTAAGGGCGGAAACAGCGGCATCACCAGAACGTAGAGTGACACACCGCCGGCGGCAAGACTACAGGCACTACAAGTTACTCCAACGCACCATACGCTAGCGGTCGTTGGCATGCTTGCACAACCACGTGAGCGAAAGCGGGAATCCGCCAGACACGGCAATCACCGCGGACAACAACAAACCTCAACCAAGACAGCGACAACAACAGCTGTCCTCGCTTTGAGACAACGCCCAGCACACCTCACAACTACGGCACACAGACAAACGAACTAACGGTCAAGATCCAGAGTTGGCTGGCAGAACCTACCCACGCACATGTGCGCCGAATGTTAGCATGTCGAGGGGGCACGATTGAAAACGAGGGTCACGTGGTTTTGAACCGCAACGATGACCCATGCTCACCATCCAGTCACCTGGTGCGGGGTCCCCGCAGACACAAGGCGTTGGAGCAAGGAAAGCGCACGCGAGCATCCCAACGCACGCGCCAGGGGCACGAATCACGAGGACCCCCGCCAACGAATTATCGCCAACGGGAAACACTAACCTGCTCCTCCTCAAGAGCCTCTATTGCCGACGGCTCTAGCACGATGGCGTTGTACAAAGTGATGCCGAGGGCTATCCCGAGGATAACAAGTTGCGTTGTCTGTCAAGCAGGAGAATGGCGCGCGCGCAAGGAGGGCGTGAAGGTGCTCGGGTTGCTTGCAGAGGTAAGAGAGGGAGACTACGTCGTCTGGAAGCAGAACCTGCATTCCACATGGTCATGGCAACTGCTAGCGACAGGAGAAACAACGCATGCGAAAACCACCAACAACGTCTGAGTCGTCGTCCTGTTCGGGCAGGCGTTCGAGCGGCACGCGTGATCCGTACGATACGCATAGGCAAGAGTGTCTCTCACGTTCGCGTGTCCAATCACGAGACTCGACGTTCCCAGGCTCATGATCATCGCCACGGATAGCTGAAGGTAACTGTCCTCAGGGCGAAAACGAAAAGCAAACAACACGCCGACGCGCAAGCATGGACAGGCCGCGGACGCGCGTCCCGGCGGAAAGATGGGAACAGGGCAACCACAGTACTAGTAGCGTCGGTGTCGCTGCGTAGGTGTAGAGTAACACCCACACGGACCGAAGTGCTATTTTGGCGGTGGGAATACGGGACGGCGGGGGTTGTGGGCGGGGGGGAAATGCATGTTTGCGACAGATGTCAACGCGAGTACCGACAGCACCATGCTTCTTCAATGTGATCTGACGCTGCGCAGTCAACATCTGAGGGCACTCGAGCAACTACTGTTCGCATATTTATTGTTGGCGGTAGCAAGCTCCTCATCTACAGTACTCAGCTACGAAACACATCCCTGTTCGCTAGGCTCGACAGACCAACCTGATGAACGGATTGTCACACCCAAGAAACAAGTAGTAGAACTCTTTCGTGTCGTCTTATTGTCTGCTGCAAAACAGTCCGTGCCGGCCCTCTCACCCAAAGACCGACCCCTACAAGGGACTTAGGCTGCATACAAATCTACCCTCAACCCATGCAAGAAAGGCACACTGAGCCCGCGCCGCTAATTGGCGGGTATATTATCGCGAGCGGGCGGGGTGCCGCGTGTGCTTCACGCCCCTGGTCGGCGGGAAGAAGAGGTTGATATGGAGCGAGGCGCAAAAGCACGCCCAAACCAGCAAAACCGCATGTATGTGCGGGCCACAACCCCGCATCACAAACACAAACAGATGTCTCGACTCACGATGGTCCCAGCTTCCCGAGCAAAGATGCGAACTCGGACGAGTCCCGCATGTTCAAGCCTGTGATGACCGGCCAGATGAAGGTGGCGTAGACACTCATTCCGAGCCAAATCGAGAGGCACACGAGCTGAACAAACGCGGCGGCCTGTCTCCCACACGACACCGCGCAGCAGTGGTGGAAATAATGAAACTGGATACTTCATGCGATGCAACAATGGCACGTGTACATGTCCCGTTCGCTGAGCAGCTTCCCAAACGTCTCCAAGCGTCGAAACGGTGTAAACGGCGTGCTAAATTTGCGGACTTGAGACATTTGGGAAACCTTTTGTCAGGTCCACACCATCTGGAGCGGTGGTGCAGGCAGTGGCTTGACTTCGACCCCCACAACAACTGCCTATCCGTGGATGCGAAGGTCGGTGAGATATTACGTGTTGTTCACAACATTGTGGGGCTGCCCCAGGTAACTGGCATTGGCACATCAAGGCTTGAGGCAATCTCGAACACGGCCTACACATGCACATGCACGTTTGGTTCGATCCCCCTGCGCTCATCTATGCGAAGTGTATTTGGAGACAAATGGAAGGGGAGTGGGCGGCACAAAACGCCTTGAATCACTTTTTCGATGCCTGCTAAACATTGAGGGGGAAAAAAACACGGTGCTGCTGTGCCAACATAGCTCGTACGCATCTGCGCCAGGCCTGTTGTCGAAGGAGGGCGAGCGCCGTTGTCGAAACGGCACCAACGAATTTCAACACCCGCGCGGCATGTGAAGCGCACATTCGCGCTGGGGTCGGTGGCGATGCCCTCTGTAGGCACTACGAAAGCCCTTACAGTAGTTCAGAACGCATCTACATATGTAACATGAATCCACACCACGGGGTGGGGGGAGTTCATCCTCGCGCTCACGTGTGGGCTAATCTCGGCAACAGCGCTGGCGACGGCCGAGCACCCCGCGGCGAAGGTTAAGGGCGCGGCGTTGGCGATGGCGGTCTGCACCCTCCGCGCCGTGACGATACCCCATCACAGCAACCGGAGAAGCACACGCGACGGAGGGAGATGCAGACAGAGGGGGGGGGTGAGACCGCTGAAACTCTCCGGTTATGTATGCGTCGACTGGCAGGCCAGTTCAGCGTACCACGAACATAGAGAACGCCTGAGACACATGCCGACACGTTCGCCGTGTGTAGCACCACATGCTTACCCGTTACACGAACATAGAGAAAGCCTGAGACACATGCCCACATGTTCGCCGTGTGTAACACCACATGCTTACCCGGTCCGGTGCCTTGTTGGCAGTCATTGTTAGAGCGCTGCTTCTCCTGGCGACGAACGGAGCCCTCCGCGCTGCTCCCGCTATGGTTCCTGTTGGTGCTGAACCAGAAGCCACAGTTCAGTTGAGTGAATACCGTAACAATCCGGGGACGTTGTTGCTGCCTTTCGGGGGGGTGAACCACCGCACCAATGATGTTGCGGCGGAAAAATCGTCTAGCCCTTCGACTGCTGGTGTGCAACGCTTTCAACTGACAAGGGCGAGCACGCCACGGCCAGTTTCTCTGCTGCCTTTTACCTCGGTTCCGTGGTGAGAAGGGAGTCTGAGCTGGCTCTCTCTGACCCCGGAAGACAAGCAAAAACCTACAAGCGGGTCCGACGATGAAAACCTAAATGTGTTGCCCCCTGCTTCTGAATTTCCACCAGATTTCAAAATATCAACGCGTGTGAGGCAACACGAACAAGGAAGCTGGTGTGCCAAGACCGCACAGGTTCAGTTTACTTGATAAAGTTACACCATCAGATTTGACTGGTCTAATGGTGTAACTTTATCAAATACAGTTCTGGTATCTGGCACTTCATGAGCCAGCAGCACGCTTGTTTCCTTCTTCTCCCCCCCTGTTCGCGCTCCAAATGGCTCTACTACTCCAAGACCGTCTCTCTCTGCCAGTAGTAAGCACCAACGCCCGTCAGAAAGAGGGGTGGCCACGTGTTCAGCTAAGAAGAGAGACTTGACTGCGGGAGGTTGTCGCAACCACCACGCCGGCTTGAAGTTTGAACTTGTAGTGTCGTCATCGGCTGATCGGTCGTGAACGGGAACTTGCTTTTTTCACATACAACATGAACACGGCAGCAGCCAACATGCCCCCCCCCCCCCTCCTTTCACTACCATCTCTCCCCGCGCCAAAACGTGTCGCTTTACCTGAGCTTGCCACTGGTAACTTGACCCGTGCCCCCGCTGTCGCTGGCGGGATGAAAGCAGGCGCGATGAATCCATCGACGATGCCAAGGAGAACCAGGGCACACGCAAGGCTCCTTCGGCGAACCATGCCTGACTCTATAATGCGGTAGCGTTTGCCCTCAACGAAGTACTCAAGGAGAAGATACCGGCCTGGTGCCGGTATCTTGAGTTTCTTAGAGGCTCCCGGGTTGCTGGTGTTGTTTGTGCGAGGGGCGTGCGGACGATGCTCTATCCATTTATAGATCATAGATCTGCACCTGGGGATGCGGCGCGAACGGAGTGCGTGTGGAGGCGTTCAGGTTCTCGAGTAGAACCCCGTCCGAAGCACGGCAGAGGGAAAGAGCGGCGAGAGTTGGCGAGAGGAGCTTGCTGCCGCCCTCGTCATTGACGCACACAGCTGTGAGCTGCGTGCTTATAATAGTGCTGAAGACGGCAATGCCTCGTAGGGCACTCCCAGCTGGCGTATTCTCCTCCTCGCCATGTCGTTTGCGTTGCCTGGCAGTGCTCACGGCCGCGTGGGGGTCACACGGCTTTCGATCGATCAGCAGCGGCAACGGCGGCACCCGCGTCAGCGCCGCTACTACTACGGCTGCCACAAATGAAGTAGGGGAGGTGCAGGTGGAGGAGAGGCCATGGCTTGGCAATGGCCCGGATCCAATGGCAAGCACAGGACAGGTTCGACCAGGCACGAGCGCTTCCCTGGGAGCAGCTGTTGTAGGGGAGGCTGGAGGAAAGGGCAAGGGCGTCGCGGCCGAGGAGATGTGGCTCAACGGCCCGTTCAATGCTCCCGTGCCGCCAGGACCACTAGTGAGTGACGACCGGGGGAAGGGTGTGCGGTACACAACGACAGCAGTGCTCTTCCAACTGTCACCTGCCGATCGTGCGATCACTTCAAGTAGGTGCCGATTTATCCATACACACATGTTCGAAGAAACGCGGCGCGTTTCCACCCGCACTGATCCCCGAAACGCGTTGCCGACTGCAACTGTCAATAAAAGCCGTAGTGGACCTCGGTCGCATGCTGAAAACGTGTGCGTTAGCAATTTGCATTCGACCACCGCAGTGTGTAACTGTGCCGGAGTGTCATAGCCAGCGTATCGGTTGTTTTCTTGTTGCTCCTGCTGTCATTCTGCCTTCGAGAGAAATGTACTCCATGGCTAACCGCTTTACACGTGTTGTTTCGAACTCACGTGCGCGGACGCCCCAGGAGATTTTGTTCGTGGACGAGGAGATAGTGGTGTGTAACAAGCCAAGTGATCTTCTTTGCGTCCCGGGGCGGATCGAGAAGGACTCGCTGGCCACAAGGTTCGTCCAGTTTAGGTCATTGTACCGCGATTCTCGCGTATCAAACGTGTACGTACCGGGCCATTGTATGTAGCGCGGCACCAATTGTTGCAAGACCGACTGCTGTTTGGAGTCGTATGTATGCAAGAGCCAACAATGTTTCTGCATATGGAATGTTGCGCCAGTGGCAGTGCAGTGTTGCGCCAGTGTGAGGGATGTGATTGTTTCAGTAACAGTGGCATTTTTTTTGGGGGTGCTGTGGATGCAATCTGGAGTATTTGGTACCATCCGAAGCCCACGGAGCCCCAGCGAGACTGCTGTCCCGGCAGGTTCGTGGAATCCTGCCATATGCTCAAGATGTTGCTGATGAGTACCTTTGAACATAATGAGGCGTGAAGTGCAGAAAAACATGGTTCATGTAGCGCTCATTTCCCGCCGGCCACTCGTGCCCAGGCCTCTTTGGTTGTATCTAATCAAGTCGGAGAATGAAGTGCAGCTTTTTTTGTACGTTCCAGGAGAAGTATACCTGTAAGGTGGTAAAGAAACACAAGGAGCCTTGCTTCAGTAGTTTTATCGTTTTTTATCGCTTGGTTGGCTGTCACTTTTGGATGCTTTTGAAGGGCTGCCCTGGAGCTGGGACACTACCGGGTGGACAGAATGATCGTGCACCGGCTAGACATGGCGACGTCCGGCTGCGTGATCATGGCCCGCACGGATGCAGCTCTCAAGGACCTCAACCGGCAGGTGCAACTTTTGTATGGTCATGGGTAGTCGGTTGTGAGAATGCCGGACTCCGCAGTTTGTTTTCACGCGTAAGTGTAGGCAACGATGTATTCCGTCGCGCGCACTGCGAGAGAGTGTTGATTTCCACCGGAGCCCCGTGATATCCATTTCCTTGTCTTGTGTTATTGACATGTGCTCTGTACGCGATGCGTATGGATGCGTACGTGCTGCTGGCGTCTTGTGGTGCTACCTATTTATGTTCCACCCCTCTTTCCGTCTCTTCTCCGCTATCGCGTTGAATACTAGTTTCGAGAGCGACAAGTGCGCAAACGCTACGTTGCGATCGTGCACGGTGTCCTCTGGGCGGACGAAGGGGAGGTCGACCTTCCGCTATGCAGAAATAGGGGCTGCCCGCCGCTCCACATGGTCAACTTCGAGCACGGAAAGCCATCGCTCACGAAATGGTACGTGAGGAAATTCCGCCATTGGCAATAGCAGCGAATGTGCAATGAACGAAGTGATAGAAGTGGCGTTGCTGCTAATTTCGGGGAAATTGTTGTCACCCTGCTCGGAGGTCCTTGGAGTCGTAGCTATTGTTTATTCGGCACACTGCATGGGTCCTTTGCGCCGGTGTAGTTAAGGATTGCGCGCGTGGTCATCTCTTGTAGCGCTGCACCTGGGAGAACCTCTGACTTGGTTGATTGTTGTGTAACGCATTCGAAGCAACAATAAAGGCATGTATGTACCACGCGACAAACACAACATATCACTTCATGACCCCCCTCTCCCTCTCTCACTCCTACGACGGGTCCTCTGCTCTCGCGTTCAAACCTTCGGTGTGACGACGTGACCTTTCTCTTTTACGGATTTGTTCCAACTCGTGTTCGATGTGCACAAGGCGAGTCCTGGACAGGGCTGCCGACCGGACAAGAGTCGAGCTCATTCCCGTGTCGGGCCGTTCGCACCAACTGGTGAGCCGGAGGAAGAGCGATCGACAACGCATTCTCAATGCACATGTCCTTCGCGAAATCAGAATTTTGTTGACGTGGTCGCCCCTGATGCGATGCTTCACCCACCGTCTTTTTTGGAATGGCTGCTCCTTCCAACAAGGGCTACCTTGCGTGAGAGGCATCTGACTGATTTTTCAACACATCCCATGCCTACATACCAACCAGGAAGATGACTGGCGTCCCGTTTTCGCTCCTCCTTGTTGTTGTCCTGGGCAGCGACTTCACATGAATGCAATAGGTCACCCAATCCTGGGCGACCACTTCTACGGCACCACGGACTCTCTCGCTCTCGCCGGCCGGTGCCTGCTGCACGCGCACACGCTGTGCCTTCGACACCCGAAAACGGGGGAGAGGACAATGTTTACCGCTCCTTGCGAATTTTGAACTTTGAGCTTGAGCCCGACTTGTTCGCCCACGGTGCCCCTGATTTGCAGGGTGTTTTGAGGGAGAGGATCCCACCCGGGCCCGGTTTTTTGTTGGTTTGGTTTCGCCTGTACCTGGTGTTGTATGTGTTCAGCGTGGTGATTCGTTCTGGTTGTGATCGCATTCTCTGTCATGTCCTGCTCCAAAGTCAACGTTTTCCGCAAGTTGCATGTGAACAACCTATTTAGGATCATCTGTGCATCCTTCCCAACGCATTGCGCCTTTGTAGAGCTCGCGTACCGACTCGGCACTCCTCTTCATGGTGTCGTCCGCTGCCGCTGGGAAATCGCTGGGGCCTCTTCAGACTTGTGCAGGGAAATAATTCCTACGCCGCTGTTTTCATAAACACGCAGCCAATTTACATTCAATCTCTATTGCCTTGGTTCTGCGCACAAGCTATGTCTCCGCCTAGTTCGCTTCAACAGCTTGAGGTTGATCTCGACTTACAGCTGAAGCATCACCACGACGTCGGAATGCCATACAGATGCCGTCCGGCCGTTCAATAGGAGACACCAAAGATACAACACGGCTTCCATTCTTTATCACGCACCGATCGCAAAGAACAAACCGTCGGACAACGATGCAAGAGTCATAAATTCGAAAGCAAGCTTCTGACCACTTGGGGTGTCATTCGATCGCTTCGTGTAGCACAGCGGAAGGAAACTACGTTGCGAACATTTCTACTTTCAATCAAGGCGACATGGTAACAACAGGCTGTTTTCTCCCCCTTGGACGAGCACCACGATGGCCAACGCCGAACGACTACCTTGCGCGTCACGGTACCGGTGTGGCAGGCCAAATCATACAAATTTGATGTCTTTGTAGCGCGCTACGATGTCCCGTTCTTTTTGAAGCTCGCCAGCGATGTCTGCCAGCTGCTGCTGCTTCATCTGTTATTCCAACCCGGCCGTGCCGGTGCGCCCAGCAGAAAAACGCCATTTGGAGAGTAGGGTGTGACAAGGAGCATTTTGATGTTGAGATGGGAAGATGGGTCGAGTTGCGCCAAGTCTTCGCTCTGAAGGGTGACGATATATTCCTTAGGACCATTTGTACGACCAAAAAAAATATCGACGAGAGAAACACCAGTGCGATACCCCGGTGTTGTTCCTTTCACCATGTGGTGATACTTGCAATACCATAGTTCAATATGATACCACTTTTTGAAGCTCCATCAATAGATTCGTAGTCTCGATGTAGCATCAGTCTCGAACAATGGATAGCGACACCTCGAGAAAATAAAGGCGCAGCTTCCAAACGAAAACCAACTACGCTCGACGTCTGCACGAACAAAACGGGCAGACCGATCATATCCGAAATCAGTCCTCAAACGAAACAAAAGCTCGTCTGGAAATACTCATTGGGAATGGTTTGACGAGCTCTGATATCAAATTTGTAACTGTTTGTCGCAGGACAATTCACAACTTCAACAATAGTCCGGAGGGTGCTTTGAATTATAGGACATTATCAAAGGCCAGAAAAGAAAAAAATAATGACTCGGCTCCTCAGGCGAAAGAGCTGTCGAAATGTGGCGTCGGAAATTGCCACTGGAATGCACAGTAGCCGCCTACAAAAACACAACGCGGTTCCATTGGTCTACAATAGTCTTTGGCGTGAACAAAAAGAACGAAAAACGAAACACTGGTGGAGATATACAGTAGAAAGACCGATTACCGTGCAGGCAAGACTCTCAACGAGGTTTTCGGAATCGGAATTAACCCACGACGTGATCACCTGCTGGCTTCGACAAGGGTATGAGGGTAGCGTGTAGACCCTAGAATGGTTGTGTTAGCTCTAAAGAGGTACATATGTAGCCCCAGGCCAAACGCTGGCTTAACAGTGTACATGTAGCTGTTCTGAGGTCACCTGCAACGCCGCTTGTCGCATGTCCATCGAGCTAAGTTCGTGAAGTTCCCTGTCCAACGCAGCGAGCGCCCCTCTATCTTCGCCAGCTCCCTGATAGGTCACCGTGCACGTGAAAGACGCACCAGCGTATAGTAGGGCCGTGGGCAGGTTGTGAAAGTGCCTTAGCTCGAGACAGCTATACATGTAACATCTTGTGATAGCATTTTAACGAGCAGCCTATCACAAGCATGAAAGTGTACCGATGAACAATGATAGGCAACCCGCACCCACCTTTCGAACAATATCGACGAATTTCGGGTGGCCATCGAACGGCGGGAAATGGCAGCGAGTCTTACACCCGGATGACCCCCATGATCCTGGATCGTTCTTGTCGCAGCATGTCCACCGCATCACCCTTCAATTAGTTTCGATTTTGTGGTACGTTGAACAGGGTGGTGTCCGGTGTTGTTACGATCACTTTGGTAAAGAGAACCACACAGATTGTACTTTAGGCGAATCGACTGGTGGCCACGTCAAGAGAACCCTGTAACTCAAGCAGCATCACCTGTGGCTCATGCACTTTTCCGTGAGCCCAGGACAGCTGCGAGGGCAAGCCCTTTTGTACTCCCCCGGGTGGTAGGCGCAGCAAAGGTCGTGGTTCTGAGCCTCAAGGTAAAGCTCCTTGCAGTTCCGACATCGAATCGGACGCTCCTGGAATTTCAAGCACACATGTACACCAAGACGGCGATTCCCCGAACACACAAAGGGCGAACAAGGAAGAGCATGACAAAGGGTTGCCGATAGGAGCGACGTGATCCTCGTTCCTGTGGTGACTTAGGTGAAACCGCTTGTCAGCAACCATCCTTCGCAATCGTTTCGCGCACGTCGGGCGTTCACCCTCCTCGGCAGAAGCTAGAGGTGCATGGGAAGCATTGTTACTGCCCGAGAGTGCCTTGGATCGCCCAGAAAGACAGCCGATACGCCAGGAATACAGTTGCCAAGGGTCCGACGTGGGGATATCTGTGGGCTACTGCCCACTCAACGTTGAGCACTGGTCGGTCGTCAACGAGAAACATTTAAATTCCCCGCCGTAGAACCCCCTATGTAAATGTGTGTGACCTTGAAACGATGAAACAGGCTCTTTCTCGTCACTGGGAGGGCTCCAGTCTTCTCGCAGAGGGGTCGTGTGTTTCGCGACCGCTGCGATCCGGCGTCGATCTCCTCGTACACACGGTTCAGGTCCAATTCCTGCCAGGTGACAATGAAGAGACAAAGGCATTTTAGCGTGACGTTTAGGCAAAGGCACCACGAGACGGTCGGGCCTTGGACGCATCGAATTGAAACATGATCTCGATGAGTATTGGTTGGTTCATGGCCGTGTTGTATTTCGGGTGTCGGCGCGTGTACTGCGTTATTACGCTCGCGGACTCTTGTCGAGAGCGTTTCTGCACAACGGATTGACTCAAGCTCCTTGTATTGTTTAGAGAGTGAGAAATGGGCAGGAAGCAGAGCCTAGCGCGTCAAGTCCGTCACACCCATCACATATCTCATATCTATCTGCGTAGCCCCCGGAGATGTCGGAGATTCGTATCCTACCGCTTACACACACAAACATATTGTGTCGGTGTATGCTGGAGTCATCAAAATATCAAGCAGTGAGTCCCAATCTGCAAATCGCGCAGTTACACATCGAATGCGGTAACAGATGGTTCGATATCGTTTGCTCGCACTCGCCTGCTTGAGGACGCCGTACTTTAGCTGGAAGGCCTCTCGCATGCTTCGCAGCCACATGTGGAAGCCTGTCCAAGCTTCGAACACCTAGACAGGAAAGGAAGAAACGGATGGCAGACAGACGCCGGATATTGGGCGCGTACAATGTACGGCAGGAAGACAGTGCATCGTGTGGTGGGATTGGGTAGGGGCGTACTCATGGTTGCTCGCCTTATGTAGTTGGTCATTGACCACACATTCCTGTAGAGGCAAAGCACCACTCGTATTCCATATTGAGACATCTCCGACAATTTTGGGGTTATCTTGCGTCGTGCGCTTAGTCATTGTGTAGGCGGGGAAGGACACTGCAAGGTTGGGTGCGACACTTCGTGCCGCAATTTAATCGAACCAATTCCCTGTGGATATCGACGGATTACCTTCCGGAGATACTTCTTCTGCGACTTCCCAAATATTCTTTTTCCCAGCTCCGACCGCCTGAGATAGATAAGCTCGCGCCTCCGCTGTTTCTTCCACAGGTTGGACACCAACGTCTCCTTCTTGGTTATCTCTTGTGACGTTCTCACCAGTCGGTCGTGGATCTGAAATACGCCATGTAACGTTTTTTTTTATGATCGGCCGGAAACGAGCGGATGTGGGAAGGGAGGTAAGCAGTATTGGACTTCTGCGGCGTTTGGGGAAACACGGATAAGTATTTCACGCTCAAGGAATCACAGGCTGACTAGGCGCTTTTTCGGCTGGCGTGGTACGTAGAACGGGCCTCTTTGAGCCTGGACCCAGTTACAAACATTATCTGCCCTGTGACCCCAAGAGCACGTGCGTGTTCACGCCATCCTTCACTGAACCTGGGTCCATCTGACGGATCCCATCACGTGACCCCCTACAGCAGCACGCTCACCTTCATCATGCGCCGTTCTGCCCCGATGAGCTCGGCCCTGTTAACCACGATATCCACCAAGCCCTTGAAATACATTGAGTGGAGGTGCGGATATATCCAATCCGTTTCCCATCTTCATCCGATTTTGGGTAGCCAGGATAAAGGAGGTCGGACAGATGTGGTCGGGGCATCTTGAGACGAAGAACGCCCTTGTCAAGGTCCTACAAGGGGGCTGGCGATGGACATACTATGGAGAGGATAGCACGTCGAATCAACCCGACAAACTAGTCTCCTATCGACAGTCTCCCAGCCTGCAAAGAGATCAATTCTGACCAAATATGTTGTTCTCAACCAAAAGACATCCCGAACTCGACGCATTCACGACGCAAACCTGCTAAGCGGGTACACCAACCAACCGAAATGCAACAACGCTTGCATTCAGTGAAGGCCCCACCCTTGGGTATCACCTTTGGTACTGGCCGGTGATGACCCTCCCGTTGAAGAACTTTGTGTCCTTCAGTACTCTGATTTTCCACTTCAAGGTGCGGTGCTCCTGCTCCTTGCACCTGGCGTGCCATGTAAAGGCATCGTCGCGCGCGGCCTGCCGCTTTCTCGCCTCGTTTGTTCTGGTGTCAGGGCGAAAGAACGAGCGCCAACTTTGTAAGCCGGAGAGTCAACGCCAGACTCACGGACACCAACAAGATTGACCTTGTCCCCAGGTTTATCCGAGACCTTGCGTTGTAGGGACCACGGAGGCTTTTGCTCGGGATTTGTGCGGTGTGTCTATTCTTGTTTAACTCGTCGGTCACTTCTATCAGCGTGCAGCAGTGTGGTTAAACCTCGACACTACAGCCTACTGGTACTTGACAGGGCATTGTCCTATGAAGCATCATAAATAATACTGAAGACTAGAGCCTACCGGTATTTGATAGGGCAATGGTCCTGTGGACTGCGTAGCCCGAGCATGCCAAGGTGTTCCGGCACGAACCGATGGCCCCAACTACATCTTTTCAAACGGCCAACCTGCACTTCAGCACACCTTGGAATAATGCCGTATCATAAACCGATACCGCATGCCTTACCTCAACACCGATTCCTCTTTGCAAGCGATCTCTTCCCGAGCCTTGGTCTGACAGAATAACCGAAGTTTTCGCAGCCCCTCCCTCTCCCCGACAAGCCGCTTTTCCAGCCTCCTCGACTCTCCTTCCGCATCAAGCCACGCCAATTCCGCCTTGGCGTCTGCAAGCTGGGCCATCTTTTCAAGCGTGTGTCCGGGAAAACGCAGAGTGACGAGCAATGTAGGATCTTGCAAGTTGCGCAGAATAAAATCAAATACGCATTTGTCGCGATAGAACAAAGCGGTGTGGGCAGTCAGTGTGTCTCGATGAGCTGGACTTCTCAACCCCCGCCATGCTCCACTCGTGCTGGTGCTGTAGAGCGGTATCGCCGAAATTTGAGCGCACCGCCGCGCATGAGGCAGGCGTTCCCTGGTACAATTCCTCAACCCAACGAATATCGAACCATGCGTCAGACCAAAATTGACACTCGTGTCGAAGCGGAAAACATTCGAGTGGTTTCGTCGTCAGGTGATGCTCGGAGGTACCTGATTCGCCTGCTCTAGCCTCATGGCAATTTTCTTGTCCTCAGCCTCGCGAACTTCCTTCGCCCTGCGCAGCCGCTTGATCACGCGCTGTCTCTGTCTTCCGAGCCTGTGCTTCATGCGCCGGTCGATCACCTACGTTTCCGTCACAATATTATATCGCCATGGTTCGGGCGCGCCGCTTGAATATTATTACACCACTGGTTTTCGGCCGCTCCATTCTCGGGTAGTGTGTGTGGGCAATGCCGACGGTTCTTTGACACGAATTGGTCGTGGGTCGCACAGGGTTTCTAGTTTTTCGACTAGCGGCGCGTGTGCAACGTGTAGTGTTGGTAAGCATGGTTCATAGAGTTCTCTCTGTTTTGGTGGAGAAGGCCATGGGAAACGATGCAATTTTCGATACAGACAGGCACCGCGGGCCAATCGAATCGTAAAACGTGGTTACCTTTTTCTGCTGGACCATTTGTGCTAGTTCCGGGTTCTCTTCCTCGAGAGATTCCGCCTCCGCCAAAGCCAGGGTTGCAGCAACTGCTGTCTTCTTGCCATTCTTCTTGGCCTTTTTTTTCTTGGTAGCACTGCCGCCATCGACCGGCTTTCGTTTCCTGGTCGCCACATGTCGCCCGTGCCCGCCACGATCCTGAGTTTTGGTTGGTATTCGGGCATGGTGAGCAAAATCGAGCTAATAGTGGGGAACATTCTGATCAAACCCGCCGTCAACTTTCGGTGGTACTCTCTACCTGGGTTTTCCCACCACTGAAACCTTCCAGGCCAACACATCAACCCACCCCAGCACCCATCCGCCAACGTGGACAATCTTTGCACGATTCCCGATGCACTTTGACTTAGGCAAGGCATCACAGCTTGGAGTGCATCACCCCAATACCCGTCTCAGAAAATGTTGTACCTCGTCGCTGCTGGTCTCTTCCTCCGTGCTTGTGCTGTCCTCCTCGTCGTCAGATAGCATACGCCGTCGCCCCCCGAGACCCCCCCTCGCCCCTTCTGCCGCATTGCGGCCTCCATTACCGCGACCGCCCCTACTATTTCCTTCGCGGCTACCTGGAAGGCGAAGAGGAGGGGCTGAAGAAGCCCTTTCGTTGCCGAAATCCTTCCCACCTTGGCCATTGCCGCGTCGGCGCTTGTCTTTCGCTCGCTCCCCTGCCGTTATTGGCCTACCACGACTGTCAATGTTGCCCTCGCCCCTGTCCTCGGCGTCGTCCCATTCGTCCATCGAGTTCTCGTTTGTGGAAGGGGTTGAAGGGCGGGAACAGACGGCGGGAGATGCAGCACGTCCGAACGTCCCGCCAATTTCTCCTTTTCCTTTTTTTAATGCAGAGGGAAGGAGGGAAACACAAACTAACGACAACGCACCGCGACAGAACCCAAGGAAGAACGCATGTTTTGCGTGAAAGAAGACGGCAAAAGTTACAACGAGCGGGTGGACCAGCAACCTTGCGGTTTGGAGCGGGTTCGCACGCATTTCCACGGAACGAAAACGGCACTTTTCATTGGCAGTGGAACAGGAGGGGGTAAGCAGACCACATCTCACCGTCGTGGTTCTTGTCGTGCTCCTTTCCATTCTGTACTCCGTTTCGTGCCAGCATCACCGACCCTGCCCTCTCTGCCAGGGGCGCCGCCCCCTCCTCCTCTAGCGGGGCGACCACAGGACTTCTCCCGTCTTCCCCCCCTTCCACACCACCAATACCTAACTCTGCAGCCGGAGACCCAGGAGGCGTAACAGCCTCAACATTATTGGTGGGTTCGTTACCGTTGTTGGCGGTTTCCTCTTCAGCCTCTTTCGCCTGCTTGTTGCCGCCGCCCCCGCCACCTCCCCAACGGCCACCCCCTCCGCCTAGCCAGTTGGTCTCCGCAGCTTTAGCTGCAGCGGCGGCGGCCGCATCCGCCTTGGCCTTGGCCGCTTTCTTCGCCGCCTTTCCTCCGCCCTCTTCATCATCCGAAGAGTGGTCTGAGTCTTCGAGGTCGACGTCGCCCGTCGGCAGTCCCATGTCCTCGGCGAAAGCTCGATCTTCCTCCCCGAGCTCCGACTCAGAGCTGCTAGCGTAGTCGTCCTTGGAACGTGTGAACAGTTTGGACATGGGAACAGCAGCAGAAGTTGGTGAGCATCTCTTGGCCCTTTTCCAAGAACGTTTTAGCGTTGGAGCACTCAAAGCGCGAGGAAACAGACGCGCGTGGCCAACAGGTAACGCTGTTCATTGTAGTTCTCCCAGCGCAATGAGTACGAGCACCAAGACGAAGAACAGGAAAGGGACCATCAACTCACATCGAACAAGTTGAAACTACCGCCGGTGTCTTCGCTGCCGCCACCACCAAGAAAGCCGCCCCCTTCCTCTCCTCCGACGCCTATGCTGCCGGCTTCTATTTTGCTTCCGTCCCCATCTCCATCGCCCCCGCCCCCGCCCCCGCTGCCGCCGCCGCCGCCGCTACCACTGTCCATTGAGTTTACGATCGACGCTGCAGCTTGGCCACCTCCGGCGGCAGAAACCTCGGCGGCCATCTGGCGCTTCATAGCCGCTGCCCTCCTAGCCATCTCGATCTGCCGCTGAAGCCTCACCTCAAGCATCTCCTGCGGTGAGTTTGTGGTTTCATATCGGTGATACAGGGTACGGAGTTTGGTTGGCACGGAACGGATCGTTACGTCTAAAGCTCGTTGAGCGTTCGGCTCAAACGTCGGCGGGTTCTTTAGGCTTCCCTCTGTGTTTCTTAGCGCATCCGTCGTCACCACATCATGCGCGGTACACTCACGCCACCTCTCGTCCGCCACGTGGTCTCGTGCGACCTCATCTCATCCAAGCCATTCAGATCGCATTATGCACACCTTCATCATAGAACGTCGACACTCTCAAGTGACAAGCGTGGCGCGCGAACCCCAAACTTCATATTAAAGGCAACGAACAGTCCGCTCGACGCCTGTCAGGAGAACAATGGTTCCTGCTAGCAACCAAAGGTGGGGTCAGTAACCCACCCGGTAAGCCCGGTTCTCAAGCTTGCTGCGCTCGTCCTCGGCTTCCATGGCCGTGATCTCAATCTCCTGCTTCCTCCTGCGGACTTTGGCCGCCTTGATCGACAGCCGCCTTCTCTCGCGACTGCTTGCGGCGGACGCGTAGGTTTTGTCGTCGCCGATACCACCCTCAGCGCCGTCTCCATCGTCGGCAGGCGCAAGTCCCAGCAACACCGCCTGTTGAGCACCAGGAGAATACATGTGAGGGAAACTGATCCTGTGGAGCTTTTTTAGCCGATTAAGGCGGAACGGTTGTATGGACGTGTTCGCAAGGTTCGTCGCTTGCGCACTCACCAACTCGTCAAACCCGCATGTTCGCGCTTGTGCGCCCATGAGCTGGTCTCACCTGCTTCTTGATCCACTCTTGCTTCTTGGCGACCTTCTCTTCCTCAACAAACACTTCTTTTTCCTCCTCCGTCATGGTGAGCCATTTCCTCTGCCGCTCTTCCTTCGCCTCCGCCGCCGTCTTGAGCTTGCTCTGCCGCTCCTCTTCTCGTCTTTGCATCTCCAATGCTCTCATATACCGCCTGGTTACGGTCCACATTGTTTTGGCGCAGAGACTAGTTTAGTAAAAAGGAGCGCCCAGTGTTCGATTCACGAGGGGTAAGCAACAACCGTAGCATACATTTAAGCAATACAAAAGCCCTGACCAATGTTCTGTGCCTCCTCTGTCCTGCATTCGAAGACCGAGCAAAATGTTTGGTGCGTGTCTTCTGTCCACTGTTCCCCAGAAACTCTGGCTGTTCTCCTCATATCATCAATGGCCAGCTGCGTGTGCTTCATTTACATCCTCTACACTTATTCTCTTATGGAGAAGCGAAAGACCTTCCAGCTCAGCTTGCCCTACGTTATGTATGTTCCAGATCTCCTTATTTGGGCTGGCCTGTTTCCTAGAGACACTAGACTGCACCTGGTCTCCATCTCTTCGTCCATCATCCTTCTCTTCTCTCGCAGCATCATGACCAGCTCCCAGGAGTTGAAGGCCTTCGTTGCCCTTTCCTCCTTGGCCATCTCGGCGCACGTCTATACTCAACATGTGGAGAGGCGGGGACGAACCAATATTCCGTTAACTACGGAGTTTTCCCCCGGGTTACCCGGGTTAGAGATCTCCCCCCCCCATTACCTTTTCGGCCTGGAAGCATGAGTTCGTTGATTTAGCCCCGGGGTAGATCGTTTTCGACCAAAAAAAACAAGATCCCCCCCGAGTATGTCAATTTCCCCCCGGGGTACCATTTTTCCCACGAGTTCACCCGGGGGGGGATGTATTTCCCTTACTTGCTGAGTCGATTTTGGTGCATCGCGGAGAACAAAAAGCATGATATGGGACGGAAAATTGACTTGCAGATCTGCGCTTCGAGCGAGATTTAGGTGTACCGTTTGTCACTTGGCCCTCGCCGTTGTTTTATGGGTGAAATGCTTTCGTTTGTCTATTTCTTGCATTTATCATCCCTGGAGTCAGCTGACGCGTACCATATAGCATGCTGACGAAACCTTGCGCACAAAGGGAAAAATCGTATTCATTTTTGGATCTCACAACCCAAGGTAGAACCGAAGCGTAAACATAGCTTATTCCAGCGGACAAACAGCGAATTCTCGTGCATGAGCTTAGGCAATAGTACCTCTTACTGTCTTTTTTCTCTTCGTCTTTGTTGCTCTTACGTTCCCCCTCCCTCTTTTTGTGGAACGCTTGCTCGTAAACCTTATCCATCTCGGTTTCACCACTCGCTGTGTGTGTGGTGTGTGGACCATCATTATTTTGCGCAACCCCCCGGGGGGCGCTTCCCCCCGGGGTAGCGTTGGAAAAAAAACACTACCCCCCAGCGGTACGTCAATTTCCCCCCGAGGGGGTTGGTTTCAGAAAAAAAAACGATCCCCTCCCCGGGGGGAATACTCCGTAGCTTACGGTAATCAATACATGCTTGCGAATTGCTCAGAGGCTAATTTTGGGTGCAATCGATCAAGAGTATCTCCGTCGGGCACACTTGGGCAGAATAATGCAAATGTACTCGAAGGGTTTCCTGTATTGACTAAGGGCTTCAAGCTGATCATGAGAAATTTCACGACATTCGCCAGCGCAACATCCGGTTGACGTTTCGCACACTTCTTTCGAGGGTGAACTCTGAAGGCTTGGCACCCGTTGCAAGAACATATTACCTTACGTTTTGGGCGAGATCTGCACGAACACCGTCGCTTACCTTTGCTATCCTTGACCTGGCTTCCTCCTTTAGACCGCGCTCTAGCAAGCTTTGTTGCGCCTCTGTCACTCTGGCGTGCTCCCTCTCCCACTTCTCGCGATTCTAAGCAACGGTCGCGGTCAGCGGTTCCGGGTCCCCCCAACCAACCGAAACAAAGAGATAAAGGAAGATAGGTGGAAGGCCCAACGGCAGAGAGTTGGGACTGCTGTTGCGATGTGATTGTTCTTTTGCCTGGAGACCACCAAAAGGTTCCCGCTGATCATGCGCGTGTTTGTGTGTTACCTTCTAGAAGCAGACATCGCCATTCGCAGAAAGGGTGCCGACGCTGTGGCTGAAAGGGTGGCTTTGAAATACCTATTGGAGGGCATTTCCTATAGCCTCCGTTGGGACTTGGCCGATTCACGGTTGTAGAGCGGCACGGTGAGCGAAAACGTGGTCGTGGCGTGCGAATTCAGCTAAAAACTACCATAGCCTGAAATCCGGTGCCCCGTCGGCTGCAGACGACGACTGACTACTTTCTCTGCCGGGAACTCGCACAAGTGGAGGGGTGCGATAAGGAGCAACATGCACGGCGTTGAGAGCTGGCTGCTTTCTCCCCCACCCACCTTTGCTATGACAATGCTCCATTTTTCCACGCTGCGTTCCAGCTCTTCCTTACGGCCCACCCACCACGAGCGGAATGTACTGTACACGCCATACTGCATGTGGCTCGGGTCCGGAAACACAAGCCCCGTCTACTCTCTCGGACGTTGTCATACCGTCGGTAAGGAGCATACGGAGTGAGAACGCAAATAAAGAACATGGGGGAGATGTGCGTTATTTTGCAGAAAAGTGTCAAGGAGCAGCAAGGTTATGGCCGCGAGGACTCGAACAGTTAATTAGCACGATTGGTGCCTGCGCGAATTCTTCTAACATAGCCGTACGCGGCGAAATCCAGTATATCCTGGGTATTAGCTCGTGGGAAGCAGCTCAGTGTGTGTAGGACTTTTTCCATTTTTCCTGTGAGGCGTAGTTAGGCATTAAGCGTCTCTTCCGCTGTCCACGTACACGTACACAGCGAATCCTGACAATAGTTGGAACGAGAGGCTGGGTACCGGTGGCCCACAGCTATTGTTGAACCGGGATTCAATGCTACTTCCTGCTGGTTGCCCGAGCTGGAGTGTTTCTTACGCCCCACGGTCTCGGCACACGGCATGAGGCACCCTCCGAACAGGCCAAGTGGTGTTTTCAAGTTGATTTGTCCCCAAGCGGATGTCGTGATACTTGCAGATGGTGCATCTTTCCGTTGGACGGCTGAATTGGGGAATGTTCTAGGACCTCCTGTCACCTCATCTTCCGCCCTTCTTTTCGCTTGCAGACCAGCCCTCAGAGTCTCCTGTGCAACGTCCTTGACAAACTCCGACAAATACGTCCCGATAATGTGATCCAGAATGGTCGCTTCTGCTCGGTCCTTGGCACGAAGCTCGAGCATCTGTTTGTTTCGGTTTGTCGGTGTTCGATTTAGACAGTCCCGCACCAAGCGCAAGTGCAGAGCACGTATTGTACACGCAAAATAATAAAGTGATCGACGGTAGTGCAAGTGATCGAAAATCAAGTACAGCCTACAGCGGGGCGGGGAGGACAAAAAAAAGGTGGGGCGTTCTAACACCAGCGTCGGCTCGCACGTGCTCATGTATAGCGGGCGCCGCCCAAACACCAAGAGAAAGTTTTCAACATTCCGGGACCGAAAATCTGCTTCTGCAGCAAACGACACATCCCAATCTTGCATGCAACATGCCATGTTCACTATTTAGCGTATAGAAAACACAATTTCGGCCGGTCGCGCCACGTTGGTTGAATACGCTACATGCCAAAATTGCGGATATGTGAAAGCAGCAGAGAGGACGCAGGTCTATCCGCCCGCCGGATTCCTCCAAGCGGGGAGGCGCGAGAGCAAAAACGTGGAGACCTCGGAAACCTTCCGTGGCAGGCAAGCTACCCGAGGGGATCTCCGTAGCGTCGCCCCTAAATCGAACACGAACTAGATGGCTGAACCCATGAGAGAAACGAAATGGCCACGGTACCTTCGCGACCCTAAGCTCGGCGTTCTTGACGTGTGTCTTCGCATACATGTCGACGAACTCCCTTCGAAACTTGCTAGCCATTAGAGCGCGCTCCAGCGCACCCTTGACCTGCAGGAATGCACAACGATGTTCACATTGAAGATGATATCCTGGGCTTAAATGGAGTTCATGACGCCGTCGCTTTTGGCCCAAGGAAAGGGGATCGCTTGTGATTGTTAGGAAGGAAAAAAATGCTTGTGATTATTTCACTGGAGCAAACTGAGCTCCGTCGGGATACGAAAGGGCACGAAGCACAGGACGCAAACATTGAAATCCACATTTCCCATGTGTTGCAGCTGACCGGCAAAGCGCCCCTCACCAAAAGAAAAAAACTCCCCACACGCAGTTTCAGCAAAGACTGTGCGGGATGAATGCATATCCCGAAAACAAAAGCAAACGATTTTCTGCGCATCTGATTTCATGACAAGGTAGTGGATGAATGTCGCCTGCTTGACTGCTTGAGGAACTCCTGCCTGTGTACTTGTAGCACCGGGCATAGACGGTCGACACTCTCCGTGTTTTTCTAGAAATACGCCGTGATCAATAGATAGTGCGAAGGACGTCCGTTCCTCCGCATCCGCTTTCTGAACCTTTTCGCCAAGACGGTAAAAATTTGGAAACCGGAAAGCTACTCTAACATACGTCGTGAGCTGTATGTACACTTTACGTTTTCCCTGCAGCCTACAGGTGAGTGCACGTAATTGCCGAGAATATCACGGTGTTTTCTTCACCAGGGCGGCATGGCTTGCAATGTCTTCCGTCGTACTTTCACGTATGGGAAGTTCATCGTTGTTGCTTGATTCGCCCGTTGTCAGTGTTGACTAGTAGAGTTCCATCAGGTTCCTAGCTTTGAGGATTTGGGGGAATTCCCTAAACATGGCGTACAGCTACTCGACAGGGTCAAGCATTGACTCAAACCCCGGGCTTTATGCCTCACGAGTACTGCCTGCGTAAGTCCACCCCACGAATTCCATCGGCCAAGGTCAGTGCACGGCGTCCTACGGTGGCCATATTGTACGGTACCTTGCGAGGCTTTGGGTTGGACTCGAGGGAGTCTTCGTCGTCGCCGCCCTTGGTCTTCGCGTTCCACTTTGCGATGTCCTTCTCTCTCTGCTCGACGGCCTTTTGCACCTGCATGTACGCACGAGCAAGGCAAGGATCGTGTGTATGCCAAGAAGCAGTTGCTCTTCTCCGGCGTGAACAGTCACACGGGCGGCGTACAGCACCCGTAAATTCACGAGAGTGTGGAAGCATGTAGCTTGCTTTGTAGACGAGTACTTTGGCAGGAAAGAAAATGTAGGAAGAATTACAACAGAGTGGACCCATCGTTTGGCTGTATCGGAGATCGTGGTATTGACATTCGAATACCGAACACATGCTAATACGGGGGCTAGCGCAGCCCTCTGCTTTGGGACTCTGCTGACAATCAGCGATCACCAAGCAGGCAAAAGCACCAGTATTTTACCCTGCCGGTCACGCTACCCATGACGGATATTTAGTTCGATCACCCTAAGTCGAAACATTGGCGGCATTTCTCTGCATTTGGCCTACGAACCTTGTAGGCGACCCATCGGTTCCGATGTTCTGAGATGGCGCTCATTGTCGCCAGCCGGGGCCCAGTGACTTTAGCCTGAGCGACCATCTTCGCGGCGAGGCGTTTCTCGTCTGCGATCTCGGCCTCCTCACGCATCATCTCCCGGGTCTGATTGTCGAGGAGTCGGTCCAGCCCGACAAAGCCCCCCAAACGGGCGCATGAGGTTTGAGCTCAGACATGTCACAAAAGTCTCGTGTTTGCGCTATGAACAAGCGCACTTTCCGGAACATTTCTGCTGCTGGAGTGCAACATAGGTTCCGGGAGTCTGACTAGCACATCCCTCGATTCAGCAACATGAGCACGTGCAATATACGAGGTGTTTTCCGTTGTATTCCCATCGCTCACCTTTAGTTCCTCGGTGAGCACATTCCCGCGCTCGCGAGTCATGGTGACCCGCTCAGTACGGTAGAGCAGGCGGCAATGAATGTCCTCGGCCTCCATACCTACGCTCTCCGCTTGCTGTCCGGCGCGATCCATTTGCCACACCTTAACGTATATGATTGCGAGAAAGAAAAAAAATACGCTTGAAAGCTTGAGGAAGGGGGCAAACCTAATCGTTGGGCGATAGGTTTTACATGAGGAAAGTAGACTGACCGCAACACGACTTTTTTCTGAACGTTAAGCTCTAACCTAGTATTATGGAAGCGTTCAATAGAGTCTCCGCCCCACCCCCGGCCCCATCACCTAATACTTCAGCAAGAAAAACAAGACCGCTGACGGTCGCTTAACGTGGCATACAACTATTTTTTCTTGAGCGAGGCCTTCTTTTCAAACCTTCTCGACAGGGATCCACATTCGTGCCGACGGCCGGCAGAATGGGAGCGTGACGATGAGCATCTGGTCCTCCTCGCGGTAGCTGTTCACGGTGGCCCAGCCGATGGGTGTCACCACCTGGCTGTCCCTCTTGGTGTAGTAGAAAAGTTCTATCTCGTGCGTCAGCCGAGCATGATCTGGGGAGATTTCGTTGTATCAATCCGCTCTTAGTTGATCTCTACATGGTCTTGTCTTGTGTGATTCTTGTGCCGACGCTGCCAGGAGATGCACGGCGCGGGGTCATCATTCAAATAGATCACAGACTAAGTTTCTGAACGCGGCTACTCAACGTTCTAGGTACGTTCGAGTTGTATGGCCGTCTGACGTACAAGGAAACGAGGTTGCACAGCGCACGAGGTGCAAAGCACCTCCGGGAGCAGGGTGAAGACGTATCGAATCCATCCATACTAAATCGTGAATCGGCGGTCAATATTCATCCCAGTAAAGTTTCGTAGCGAACAACTCCCGCGGACGCTCAGCATGCCCTCGCCCTGGACCTTCGTGTGTGTCCTGCCCTGTCAGGAAGTCTCGCTATGTTTTGGCCCTCGGTGCATGTGCAGTGTACGTATAGCTGCACCGTTCTGAGGCTTGCGCTCAAGGGAGTGAGCGACCGCCTGGATCGGGATGATACTTCGATTCCAACGGAGGCAATTAGTGGATAGAACTCGAAGTAGCTCGACCTCGACAATCACCTACCTTCGGCGTACTTGTGACGGTTTTCTTTCACTACCGCGAGGCGTTTCTCCATCGCTTCGATCCTGGCCTCGCTCCTCAGCCTGTGGAGGAGCACGTCCCGCAGTTGGTCAGTGGCGTCCCTCAGCTTGGCGTTTGCGGTTGCCACCAAAAAGCCCTACGACAGCGCCAATCAGGGACGTTTTGCGCGCGAACGTGAAACAGCAATTGTTAAGTACAAGGAATGGTGTGGTCCATGCGGAACACATTCGCGCGGCATTTGTTTATTTCTGGTGCTAGTCGTCAGGGTATGAGGTACAGCGACGCTTCAGCAAAGCTGTTACTTTTTCAGCTGGATTGTCGTGCTGAACGTACACGTGAGTATATCTCGTAACGATGAGAGGATTAGATCTCTCTGCCGCCAACACTCCTGATTGACGACACCTTGTCCAAGCGCTCTGAGTTTCTTACGCAAAATGGCAAACGATCGGCACACAACTTGATGAATCGCTGTCATTGTAGTCCGGACGTGATTCTTTAGATTGAATCGCCCCTGCACGGGAGGTGACCGTGTTTACAACACTTCATCCACGGCCTCAAATCAGGCCGACAAGAGAGGAGCGACACCTCCGACAGCGGGGAAAGTCCATTATCACCTCACACGCACCCACAAGGTCCGTGTACCGCGATCGACTGCCAAGTCCCACAAGCAAGCGTCGTCCCGAGCCAAGGTGATGGCGCTCTCCCTATTGTTGCAATCATCGTGCCCCCTTACCGAGGTTGTTCTGCTACTCATGTGTGACGACGAGTCCAACCCACCCTTGTCACCCGGCCGAGTGGTGACACCCTTGTCAAGCACTTGCTCCCTCGACTTATCGCCGAGCCCATCTCATCCCACGGAGCCTCTTTGTTGCTCTCATGCCGGCCCCATCGTCGAAACCACAGAGCATGGGAAAATCAGCGTGGAGTTCAACCATGAACTACGACATGGCTGCGCTAGTACCCGTTCTACAAATACGAAAGCCTTCATTCTCACCTGCCCCGCCAGTCTCATTTCCGCGTAGGTGAGGTCCCTCTTGACCTCCTCGAGCACGTCCTGCCAATGGCGATGCCGCCGGTCAGCTTCCTTCCTCATGTCGAGCATGCGTTGGCACTCACCGAGCTCAGCCTCCGCACGCGAAGTCGTAAGCTCCAGCAAAGGAATGTCGCTGTGTGCCCTTGTGATTATCTGGATTTTACGTTCCGGTAGAATTGACTTTGAGCGTTGACCCGTGAAGCAATGGCGGCCGCGGGTTGTTCACAGCCGGTGGTGTTCTTCGTGTGACAGAGGGGGTCTCTGTTTGGGTGCTTGGCTTGTTCACAATTCCTCGTTACCAAACAATTGTGTGCTGCATTGATTGAGATGGCTTCCCGACTGCCATGTTTGCTCTATACCATGTGTTATCAAAGAATTGTAGCAATCGGGAGTGTGCTGCTCGGAGTAACGTCAAACCCGCAGTTTTTACATGTTGAACATGTGCCAGGAGAGTACCTATGCCTGAATGTACTGCGCTTGCCTGACGAAACTCTACTCGCTCGCGGGTTTGTCGCCTCCTCAGCTCCTGCAGTTCGTTTATTCTTGTCTTGCTGTTTATGATTCGGTTGAACAGCGACAGGATGTCGAGAAAACGAGCCTTGCGCCGCCCGTCGTACGTGCGGTATGTCAAAGGCCCGGATCTGTCGCCGAGATTTCATTACGTGAGAACGTCCGTTAGTGTAGCTCTCATGCCGTCGGTGAACGTAAACGACACCGAACGGCGCCTGCCTACGTCGCTTCCATGATCCACGCAGACGGCCCGGATTCCCCGATCGGGGGCGTTTTGAAGGCGTGGAGGACGATCGGCCGACGCTCCTGAGGGACAGCTACTCCACGTTTACGAACGTTATTCATCACGCAAAGGGTTCTGTGCTCCGTAGTGAGAACCGATACCCACCGCTTTGAAAGCAGTTGCGGCGGTGGTACGCACGTTATTTTGACTGGTTCAGGCCATTCTTTACCTCGTAGCGTTGTCGTACCACGCGATCATGACTCCCTTCATCTCCGTAGCCTCCGTGTCCCCCTCTGCGACGCGATTGTCGAACCACTCGAGCAGTTCCTCCTTCCTCCACAACACTCCCTGCCGGATGACGCCCTTCTCCTTGAGCCAGTGGCGGTGCCTCCTGTCTAGCTCGTACATCATCTCCGGGTCGTCAAGGTCGTAGAACATGTGGTCGTACTCCGCAAAGCATACCTAGGGTTACGGAATATCCCACCAGCCCATCCCCCCGAGATCCCAGCAGGTAAGACGTATTGAAAACATGTTGCCAAAGGGCCAAGGGAGCGATTGATGTTAATCACTACTGTTCGGCACTCGTTGAGGTACACAAGAAGAAAACCACCGCAATATAATTTTGCTCCTCTTTTCAATGCGTCACATGCATACGAGAGCAGACTTCTCTTAATGGTCGAAATCACTTATTTCGTGGGTTGTCGGCAGTCTGAGCATGATTTCAAAATATTGTGTCCATGGGTGTTGCCCTTGTCCCGCCAGACATAAGAAACTTACTCGTCGTTCCTTCTCCAGACGAATGCGCTCGTCCTCCACCGCCTTGAGTTGAGCAGATGTCTCGAACCGAAACCCGCCTTCGTTGGCACGATGTCGCTCCACTGCTTCCACAAGGGCCGGATCCTTTCGCAGGGCAGTCGTGGCGAGAAATCCATAACGGTCCGTTTCAAAGCTAACGACATGATGACCTATCCACTGGGCCTCGGCGCAGTAGCCAGGAACGAAAAAATTCATTCTTTGGTTGGTGCCACCACGTTTCGGAGCGCAGCACGGACCGTGCTCTATCAACAATATGGACCAAGAACGTTGCGGTAACTGTCCAATCAGTCGTCAAGGTCTCTCTCGGCAGTCAAACGTTATTCCAACCGCAACTGTTACAAAGTGACCCGCCGACAACGAGACCCGCGATCGGCCTGTTCCGGTACGTGCGGCCCACCGACCCACCTCCCCGAATCCGATCCCCTTGGCTTGCCGAACGTCCTTGTGCATTCTGGTCGCCTCCATCCCGCAGTCGCGGCATCTGTTGAAGACAACAAAGTTGATTGGTGAGCAGCCAATGCCATATTTCGAAAACGTGTGCAGCCGAGCAAACAGGGGTAATAGAAGGTCATGATAAACCCGCCTCAGACCAGCGTGCGGGAGGGAGGTTACCCGAGCGAAACGCTTCCTGAGACCCAACAGTTTCGACCCTGACCATCAGCCTGCCAACACACTGACCGCCAAGCAGTCCTCCACCAGACCGCCAAAGCGTCCGTCTCATACTACCCTTGCCTGCCTCTTTGTTCAGGGGAGTTGTTGCCCTCAACGAATCTGGCAGAAACCAACAGAAATGCAAATCAGTTCGGCATATTCACACGCCGAGGGGATTCCAACAACCAACTCACCGCAGACCCGATCCATATTTGTCGCCCCACGCCTTGGTGCGGGTGTGCGAACACCCGATGTTCGCTTGCAGCGCTCTGCCAAAGTTGGGAATACTGAGTTCTTCCTTGATGAGCCGGTCCCTCTCGATCTTCGCCAGACGTTTCAGCCTAGCCAGCTCGGCGTCACGCGCAGTCTCCAACGCCACCGTCTTCTCTCGAAACACGCTCTGCAGCCGTTCGTCCTGCTCCACATGGCAGCGTTGTACAAACAGTGGCAGCAGCTTGGTGCAACCTTGGGTGATTTGGCTGAAGGGAACTCTTCGTGCTGCGTCTTCAGATGTTCAGCCAACCCGTAATTCCTGGCTGCGGCTACGTCTGGCCATACGTGCATTACCAAGCAAAATGTCTCACGGCTTTGCTGGGCGAAACAAGGGAGGCGAAACAGAATCTATGCGTACGCAGCAGAAAATCCCAATTTTCCTTGGGTATTCGCCTGCACTCGCTCTTTCACTTACCTCTTTGCGCCTCCTCGCTGCCGTCTCGGCCGCGAGGAACTTGAACTGTTGCTCCGACCGGCCGACCGCAGTGGCGATTTGATCATTCACCCACTTTCTCCTAGCCTCGGACAGCGCCACTCTAAGTGGCAAGTCATTCGCGGGGGTCGCGATTGCACGTTTCAGAATACAGAACTCATGTGTGGGCAAGCACAGCAACCAACAACCTATCCAACAAGAGAAGATAGATGGCAAGAACGGGAGATGATGACAGGTACGGTGGCTCAAGATGAGCCCTCAACATAAATGTCGTATACTCAATTTAATTGAAAAGCTGACAGAAGATGGCACACTCCCTTCCGGGTATCATCGCAGTGTGTTTTCTTGTGAAATGATGGCCTGGAATTGGAGCAGCCGCTCGCCAGCAAACGCGCAACATAGAACGATCAAAGTACCGGCGGAACCGCGCCGACGAGCCGCCCTCGACCTGTACGTTGCGGTGATGAACACAACGCGGTTCGCGCCTAGTGTGCATGTGTTATCCCCTTTGCTCGCTCACCCTGCCGTCGCTCGCTTCCCGGACGGTGGTGCGCCAATCCCGAGCTTCCAGTCATTCCGCAGCGACCTCGCTAGGGTCTGAATTTCTGCCTTGTTTTTTTTTTGGGATCTTGACAGGATTGTGGCCTCGGCTGTACTGTGCACCTTAACCTGCATTTGTTTGTTAACCGGGCCAATGGTTTGGAACAGGATGGAGCGCCTCGAAGAAGTAATATCTTTCGTGTGCGGCTTCATCAGCGAAACACTCGACAGGAATGCGTCACCCTGACCAGGGCCCACGGGATATGATGAAGTGCCCTTTGCGCGGCAAAATAATTTTTCGTTTGGGACACCGTGTGCGACCATGTCCAGTCCGTCTCGGCATCTTGGCACAAATCACTCCGCATGATGAATAAATGGCCGCAACTGCTGCAGAGATGACAAGAGTAACGGTTGTACACGTTTAGTTCACCGGCACTGTCACACCTTGCTCGTTTCAACGTCTTTCGCCATGCTGACGGCTGTGTCTTCGATGTCTCTCCGCTTCTTCAACGCCTGAACCTCTTCGCCCAGCTCGTGTTGTAGCGCTAACAGGGCCTTCTCCGTCTTTTGTAACACGGCATCGCTGCCGGAGACTTTGAATTCTTTCATACCACGGGGAATGAGGCGCAAACAGCGGGAAAGGGGCGTCAGGTGGGAGGGCATTGAGAGATGAGAGGATTTGGCTCAACAAGGGGCAACGTAGGTTACCAGGAACCACGTCAGACGGCCGTGCACAGACTGTAAAACCCATCTAGGTGGCCAATAATACGTCAGTACACTGACTCAATACTCGGAGAGTATGCTCCATGAACGATTACCTGCTAGCTTTGCGGCGTTGGATCTGCTCGGCTTTCGTTCCTTCGGTCTGCCGGTGTACTCCGCCCAGCGCACCTCGTTCAGATCTACCTCCGCGGTCGCCGCCCTCGATCTCGGCGCCACACTGTTGTCGCGACCGCCCCCTCTACTCCCGCCTTCTCCCTTACGATCACCGTCACCACCATCACTTTTTCGGCGCCCCTCCACCTGATTGTTTCCTTGTCCTCGAGTTTCGTTTTCGCTTTCGGTTCTGTTGTTGTCAGGCTCGTCTTCTTCGGCGCCGAGAACACGAACGACGTGTCTCAGCACCAGCTTCGTGCCAAGATCCACCCAGCGGACGCAGACCGAGGCTATGACAACCGTTCGCCAAACGTTGGCCGCGCCGTCGAAAATCTGTGACATATTCGTTGTTTGATGTTCGTCTTGGTCAGTTTCAGGTTTGATCGCTAACTGTCTGTTCCCGATTTGGTTTGCTGGATTCATGTGAGACTTGTTGTTGTGTCGTTGTCGTTGTCGTTGTCGTTTTCAATGCCGTACATAGCTGTTGCTGCTGCTTTTGCTGCTACTGTCGCTATTTCTATGAACGTGCTTGTTGGTGAGGGCGACATGTCGGTGTCCTCGTCGGCAAGTCTCGAACATGCGCACGGGTAGAGTGACTTTCCGCGAGACAAGATGCCCAGGTAGGAGGTACCGATAACGGTGTCCAGTGGGCTGTACCCTGCAACGATATATCACTGCCATGCACGCACCTCTATCTTCCTGCCGACCATCGCCTCCGCTTCTGCGATGCGGTGTTGCTGTGCATCCCGCTTGCGCTTGAGATAACCATCTTTGCTTTTCATAGACCGTATCAGCTTTGTTAGTTTCGTGAGGCAAGGAGGTATCACGGGAACGGCCAGGTGGGTGGGCAGGTGGTCGAGTAGGCGTAAGTGTGTGGGCTGTGTGGTGAGCAGCAATCCACTGAACAGTAGTACAGGCGGAAAGAGACAAGCCCGCCACAAGTCAGCAAAGTGAAACAACTCGTCACAAGTACCACCCACATGTCGGCGAAAAGCGTCGGTCGGACGAAGATGAGGCCAAGTAGTCCCTATCTTCCCGGTTGGACTTCAGGCGGGGTGTGTTATCGTTCGCTACCGACCAGCGCCGATTATTGACTGCGCAGTTACTCTGCCAAAATTTATCACCTTCTTATCGACAACCTGCTAGATTATCTCCTCTGAGATAACCGACAAATACGATTGCACCCTTCGGAGCATGACGTCAATAATATGGGTTTTCCGTTCCAAAGTGCGTTGACAACAGCCGGCCCTGTTGCTTGATTGCTACTACCGAAGCATCTGCCATTGACTTCATCGCCGCTACTACAGTAAACAGACGTTGATATGCCATACCTCCGAAACATGGTCGCAAACCACTATGAGCCAAGGCAACGCTAAAGCTTGGTTCGCGTGAGGGGGTTGTATGAGCGAAATCGTTCAGCGGGACAACATCAAGAAAACTCAAAAGAAGAGCGCGCCATGTTTTCGAAACCTTCCATAATCATTCATTTGGCCTCTTGTCTGACTCATCGACTACAAGGTACCTTCTCTGCAGATAACGCACCCTTCTCTCGTCCGGGGGAAGACGATGAATTTGCTTCTCCACCTCAGCGGCGTCCAACGCTTTGTGCCCTTTCGCTGAGCTAGCCGTAGCTCCGTGTGCTCTTATCGTTTTGTTGCCACGGACATCGCCACCAACCATCTGCGCTTGTGCCGATACACCCCATGCAGGAGCATGAGGAAGAAACAAACAAAGGCATACGAATACGTTGGGTAAAACGTGCACATATCGTGGTAAAAATCAGCAGGATCTTGGAGTCAATCTTGTGCGTGCAACCTGTATTACGAAAGCTCCTCAGCAACCGTTCAGTGGCTTGGCCAGCCCAATGCTTTTGCCATTTCTCCCGAACGCCACATTGTACGAAGGGTGGCAGGTGCCATACGAGGGTATCAACTATGCATCGAAGAGCGGTGATTCTGCTGGAAATTTGAACTACTCCAAGGTAGAGGTTGGTGGTGCCGGGGTGTACGCACCCACCGTAGCCAAGGCCACGGGTATCGATACCATCAACACCTGCATCGCCATGTGCTTGGCTGCGAGTGATTTCCGAAAGGTAAGAGGGAGCAAAGGAAGCTCAGACCTGAAACAGCAAGGCCTTGACAACGTGAAGTGTGAGTTGCCAAGGGCGGTAGGAGAGCCCACGGTCGAAATAGAGAGAAATCAGAGGCCATGATGGGTTTGAGTATGCATGCCAATACTCTAGAACTAGCGACCAATCCGTTTATTCTCACTCAAAAACGACGACTACACCTTCGTTTCGATTATGTCGGCATACGATTACGTCATACGACTAAGTCACGACGCTTTCTCCTAAAACATCATTGGTTATAAGCGTGACACTTGTGGGAGAGATGATCTTACGTTCAGCCAAAACCCCGGTCCCTGGGAAATCAATAGTACCTTAGCATAGATGTCATCGAGGCGCGCTTGGTCGCGCTTGGACTGCGCTTCCCTGATGCGCATCGCCTCAAGGGTTTCCCTCACGAGGCGACAATACTCCTTGCGGGGATAGCGCTGGAGGGTGGCGTGCAAAACGCTCGAGTCCCAGATATCGCCCTCTGCTGTCTCCGCCTGGCAGTGTGGTAGGGCCGAACACGCGCAAACAAGGTAGAAGTCGAAAAAAAGTAGAATAGTGAGAGCTGGGGTATAGAGGATACACATCAGAACGGTTATGTTCTCGACTACCACAACAGCAACAACAATATTATGGACAGCAATAGCAGCGTCATGGACGACGACCAACATGTTGAACCACGTTGAAACAAGATTGGACGTACGGTCGTTCTTGCCCGCCCTCTGCGTATAGAGGTCATCAGCCCATATGCTCGTCACACCATGGCTTCTTTGCCCTCATATATGGCTGGAAGCTCTCTGTGATACTGAGTCTAGCACATCCGTGGTTGCGGCGCTATCAAATATCGATACCCAGTGAATATGTTTTCAATAATGGCATGTAGATTCTCATATTTTCATATTCAGAGTTATGCTCTGGAGCTACTGGTTATAGACAAGCAAATCCCACACAGGACTTCTTCATTTGTTACGGGAATCTGCCGTAAGGCTAAATCGACGTAGCATAAATACTTGAGCTGTTTGGGGGTTCGTTCTTCACCTCACCATTATCATGTCCTCCAGGAGACGGACAGTGGACGCCTCGGCGCTCTTCAGATCCAGCCGCACTTCTTTCACGTACGAGCTGATCGCACGATTGCCTACCCACTGCACAAGCAAGGAAGCAACATCCGGAGGTCTTTGGCAAGGATGGCGGTGAGAATGGCACGGGTCATTCACATTGTCTTCAAATCAATCTCCATGTGACCATGGCGCGGATATCATCGACTTGTAATAGTTTCTGATGTTGCGTTGCTCTCCTAGATGGAGCTTTGAACTAGGTGTGGGTGGTGCATGGTGAAAGTGCTCTCCTGCCTTCAAAACGAAAAGGCCTTAATTCCCGGATTACAGGCGACCAAATGGTCCGGAGATAGTTGATACAACCGTGTCACGTACAAATAGGCTTGGCAAGCAATGCCTGTCCAGTTTTAATGAGGGAAAAATACCTCAAGCGGCGCCATCTCGAACGTTGCGAAAATCCCGGGCTCCACCGACATGTGAGCCTCAGGCAAGAGGCATGATGACGAGAAATCGAAGCGGTAGGCCAGAGTAGAGCCGCGGAAGTGGTGGCTCATCTCGTACCGAACCTTGCTCGACGGAAGGGTTGATGTAATGGGCGTGAACGGAGAAAAAGGGCCGGAAATAAAAGTGGTGTTAGCTGTGTGTGATTACAAACAGGGGCGCGTCCAAGGTCATCGGGGGCGATGGATAAATCCCCTAACCGGTCATTCGAGGTTCCGTGCCAGAGTTCGCCAAGCGCTGTGACCTCCCGAGATGAACAGAAAGCAAGGTGTTCTTCCCAGCGAATGAGGCACTCGTCCTCGCTAGATCACCCCTCCAACGGCAATACGGCCACTATTTACCTCTCCCAAGTCCTCGTTGACCACGTTCTTAACGTCGGCCACATGGTGAAGGGTCGCGATGTTCGGCCCCATCTTAACAGAAACCCAGTCGGTGGAGTCATGAGTAAACTCCTCGGCATTGTTCCCGTCACCGCCAGCGCCATGGTCGCCATCACTTCGCGGGAGGAACACGGGCTCGCCGGCGGTGTCTTCCGGCATTCGCCTCGTGACAGCGAACCGTACGGTCCAGAGACCATTGATGGGCATTGGCATGACCTGTGCGGTGGTTTTCAGGCACGGGAGGGCGAGAAAGAGCCAGCGCCACGCGACAGAACAACGAGGGTAGGCCTTTCAAACAGACAGTTGCCTGGACGCTCCGATCAGAGACTTCTACGTGGCACACTATCGCTTTTTTTTCGCAAATTCGGCATACTCCAACCAACCAATCTGGTGTTCAGCGGCAGGCCCAACCCGAAACGATTCACACCGTCGACGTTCAAGCACCTGGTGCACAGTCGTAAAAATCGCTTGCCAACCAGTTGGCCATGGGCAGCAGGGCTAAGGCTAGAACCATTCAACATCGGCCGATTGAAGACGCCTCGAACGCCGGATGAAAGACCAATCCGGATCCGTCTGCTCAAGATCCTCTTGGGTCAGACAAGAAGTCTCAAACTGGCAGATAGTTCACAATTTCCACACCGCACCCCAACGAGATGGCCATGAGCCACAGGCCCAAGGCTAATTCCACTGGCTTCATCTCGGTTGTCCACTGCTGCGGCCCTGTCGCGGCCCTCCTCGCCCGCACCATCCCCTCCGATGTCCTCTACTTGCCCCTCCTTCTTATTACCATCGCCGCCGTTATCCATTCCTGATGACTGCGGTGATACCATTGCTCGACTTTCGCGAAGCAACTCTTCATCCTTAGCTGACCGTGGCGGCGCTGCGTCGAAAGTGCGGATTATTGGGGGAGGCGGCGAACGCAGGCAGCTAGTTGAAAAAGTACGTTGAGATAGGCACGGCAGACAGACGCGGACAATGGTTTACCGTCGGCCGCCTTGTTGGCCGACATTGCTCTGGCAGAGGGCAGGGATAGAGTGTGAGACTCAGTGGCTACGCCTTCATGCATACGAGGGCGATGGAACTCAGAAGCAAATGTGTGAGAGGGTGCGCCCGATCTCACACAACTGGCGGAGACACCTTGCGAACACCAAGAGGTTGGACAACCAGTGCAGGAGGTGTCCGGCTGCAGGGAAAAACAAAGCAGCAGTCTGCAGGAGACGATCACAACAACGATCTGATGGAGCGCACCGCTTTTCTCGTGGCGGCTCCATCCTCCTGCCGCTGCATACCTCTGGTGTTCTCTCTTGGCACAGAGAACGAGGGTATCCCAGCGGGCACACCAAAGATATTCTTGCGTCCAGACTATTGGTCGATGTTGTGAATTTTCTAACGCTAAACCACATACCGTAGATGGCGTACAGAAAGAGCATGCAACAATTACCCGCCATGACCTCAGTCATACCGTCTTCTATGTCGGGTGGACGCCAGGATTCAATCCCAACGGACTCCTTCTTGTCGCGGTAGCGCCACCATGGTACAAGGCCCTCGTGTTTGATAACGGGCGGTTCCAGTAGTGCCTTTGCCCCGCCAGCGCTAATGCGTCACAGAAGAAGGAGTGCAAGCGAAAGTAGCCGAGTGAGAAGGGTAGAGAAGCACAAACGGCAAAGTGCACCGATAGGCAAGCGAATGCCAGTATTACTCGAGTGAGACGGCGGATCACTATGGTAGACACCAGGTGGGGTGGCCCCTGTTTCTCCAAGTTTACTTGCTTCGCCACAATCGAAGTGCTGGGGAAGCGTTCTTCGAGGCAAGCGGGTCAGCAGACATGGATATGTTCCACCGCCAACACGCGTCCACGTGGCACATAGGTGTCCAATCTGGTGCACGCCATGGATGTAGGCACCGTCAGGAGGCATAGAGAAGAACCTGGAATGTAGGATATTGTGAGGCGGATGCTTGGACACAACATCATCAATGCCTGAAAAAATGTAGGGTCACCTGAAGAGTTGGATTGCAGTAGAGAGCGACTCTCGGGCATTCTCCCCGTCCACTAGTTTTAGCCGCTCCGTCGCTCGAGCTAGCCGAGTCAGAAAAGCCTCCATTGATACGGCACAGAAACATTAAAGGGGTGGATTGAAGGGGACATCATCGCCCGAAATGGACGGTCGAATCCGCAGTTGGTGCATCATGTACAACATTTAGTTTTCTCAGACACGCCCACGGACATCCGTGGAAACGACCATAGGCATGCCCTTACTTGCTCGACAGCTGAAACGTCCAGCGAAGACCAGACAATATTACCCCTACGTTGCACCGCAACGATTACCGCCAACAGTTGTCTAGGTCGGTGTAGGTCTCCGGCCTCAAACACTGACTATGGATACGTCACTTGAAGTCTGCTGAAGTGTCGGGGCAGGCATGTCCCCTTTCGGTTCCGTGGACGTGTAAATGAGCGTGAACGGACGTTCAGACATTCGTAGACACGTCGACAGACGAAGGCAGTCTCGTCCATAGTCGAGTCGAATGCTGTTCGTGAATGGAAATTAGAACAGATGCTTACTATTAGAGTACTCTCTCCTTCCCCCTCACCAGCGCTGCTCAATCTCTCTACTATCTCCTTTTGTGTCTTCCTGTACCTCTTTGACCAAAGGACTGGCCCACATTCATACGCAGTTAGCCAAACACCAATGGCCGTCCACTACCTTCCCGCTCCTCCGAGAGCAACAGACCATTCCCGATTCAATTTGCCTGCCGGTAAGCACAAATGTGTGCGAGGGGGCATACCTCATAGGCGTTCTCCTCGTTCTGCAACTGAATCTGCTTGAGCCAGGATTTCCGTTCGCCCTTCGCCATGGTGGCGTGCATCTTCAAAGTCGCATCCACTTCCCCCCTCACCACCTCAAGCTTAGCCCTCAGGCTTAGCTCTTCCATCGCACGCCGAGGGTTTCCCGCGACCATGTCCTCGAACGTCACCCCACGGCTCTCCCCGCCTGGCCCTTCCTGAGCACCTCGCTTCTTTTTTGCTGTCACAGAACTGCTGCCGATTTCGTCGGATGTCGTTTCGGCCCCGAAGCTGCCGCCTGCCGTGGTCGGCATCTCGAAGGCTGGTCCACGGATGCCGGCTGCATCCACACCTAATTTTGCCGCTGCAATGGCACGAGGAAGGGACCGGCCCACGATAACCGGTAGCGAGCCGCGTCCTCGGTTCTCCGACTGTAACATTGTTGTTTCGTTTGACATGGGACCAGAAGAAGGTATCAATTGGTGTTGATGATCACTCGGAGGCCGGGGCGGGGAGGTCGCAAGTAGCGAGAAATGCCGATGGAATGGGGAGACGAAGTATCTCAAAGACTACGACCGGCACGTTTAGCGCGCAGCAACTGGAGGCGTGCAACTCCGGAGATCTGCAATATGCAGACCAATGTTGTGGCCGCTGCTTCCCAGACACATGCCTAAGCCCGCAGGGAGCGTGGTGTGTGTCCAGAATAATATGGCACATCTTCGTTAATTCGTTAATTCCAGGAGAAAAAAAACATGTCGAACGCGCTTCGAGTTGAAATCCGACTTCAGGTGGTGTGTGTAGGGTTTGGTGGGGCAAGGGCAGGTAATATATACATTCAGGGAACAGCCTCGACACGCGCGTATACGGCATGAAGCATTGATCACTCGTCGACCATGGACAGCATCATTAACCCTGACGACGAATCCACTTGCGACCACCTCAAGAGCTTCACGGCAGGTCCTGGCGCGCTCTCTGATCACCGCCAGCTGTCGAGCCAGTTTCAACCCCTGTGCTTCCGTGGCTTTGCGCGTTGCAGCGGACTTGATGTACCTTTGGCATTGTTGATGTGATGGGTGGCGAAGCCCGGGAGATGACACCATGTTGACAAACGAAACGCAGGGACAAGCGAAACAGGTGTTTATTGAATGCCCTGGCCTGACGTTTACCGCGATATTCTCAGCATTTGAGGTTGTGTGCGCCGTAGTCGAGAAAACAAATGGATCGGCAAGCCTCAGCGAACGTTCAAGGAATTTCCAGAAACTGTTGTGTGAGCACCAGCGGGCTCACTCCACGTTAACGTGCCCAAAACGACATGAACGGGGGACGAGGAACCTATTCCGACGGAGAGAGCCCCGTGGACAAGGGACAACTACAAGGATGACCTCATGGCCAATGATTGGCAAGCGTTGAGCGCGCTATACGTATTTGTTGCTCGTGTGTTGCCCTTGACACCAGGTCGGCAAAACCAAACCGTTGAGCTAGAAAACACAAAAAGGTAGAGCCGTTCGCCCGCTACAAGCACCCAACCACAAAGAACGTTCATATTACTCTCTACGGCACCCATCAAACCATTGGAAACGCAGCTTCGCCCTTTCCGCTTAGCGCTTACCCCTCCGTCTCGCATCCGCTTACCTCTCGTGAGCTTCCCTCAGATTGTTCCTGATACTTGCTCTTCTCGTTTTTCTCAGATGCATGGCCTCTACCTCCGCCGACGTCAGGTCTCTGTTGGCCAGGCGCTGAACCAACAACATCGCCGAGTGCTCTTCGTCTGTACTTTCGGAAGCGAGAAATCGGTTTACGATGCATAGGGCGCGAGCAGGTCAGAACACTATAACCTGCACCTGGATATTTGCCTAAAGACTCTTACCGAAGTGCTGCTTTTGGTAGTTGGAGAAGATAGATTTGACTGCAGTGATCACACCGCTTCCTCCAATTCTTGGTACAAGCCACAAAGGCATGTCGGAATGATGGGTAGCGCCGCAAAAGAGACCCAGGTGGCAAAAAGACGGCTGCGAAAGCACCATATATGGGTTTCAAGTACAACGTCCTGCTATGGCATCGCAACAACAGCAGTTTCCGCACCTATCTGGGTCATTTCCCGCTCAAGCCTCGCCCTCACGGCCGTGAGGGACGAGCTCTCCTCCTCGGCTACTCTACCCTCCTCAGTCACGGCAGTGTACAAGGCCTCCGTACGCCCTGCTTCAGCCTCCAGTTCGCTTAGTTTTGTCCACCTTCGAGCGCAAGGCGGCCGCACACGGCGGGGGTGAGCCACCAGCATCGCTTTGAGTATCCCAGCACCAACACACTGGCCAGAGCAGACCGGGCATAGATTCATCCAGTGCCCCGCACAACAAGCATCGCACCCGGCAATTCTATTTGATACAAAATTCACAGAGTGGCGTGTTGATGGTCTGGACGTGGAGATACATGCAGAGCCGAGGGACGGCGCAGGAAGCGGGAAACCTCCTCAAAGCTTCCGCGTGTGTCGAGAGGTACCAGGTTGTGGGAGCACGAGCTACTACCTCTAAAACATCTCACGGTTCGTTCCACGCTACGGTTTGAAGCTGACGCCGCCATCGCCGAATAAATCATTGATCCAACCTACAGGACAGACTGGCCGCATAAAAGTAAAGGTGATTGGCTCAAGCCCGTATTCCAATCTCCCACCTGTCACAATCTGCACCTCGGGTCATCCCGTGTAGCGGCGATGACTGTTTTCGCCGGAATATTCGCACCTTGTTGCCCACTGACTGTCTCCTATCCTTCTGCGCCTACCTCTTTTTCTCCTCGTGTACCCTGTCTTCCCCTTTATCTCACCTCTCTTCATGGGCCGCATGCTGAAGCGGCTGAAACAGCTCCACTTCTGAGTCGTCCAAGCCGTCGATCTTTCCTTTCTTGTTACGGCCGTGGACTTGCCTGTCCCCATCGCTGAGTTCGAACAAGCCCATTCCGTCTCGCACTCCTGCCATTCCTTGCCGAAGGACCGGCCTCCTTCTGCTCTCCCCGCTGTAATCTCCACCATCGACACCCTCAGCACCCCCCTCCCCTTCCCCCCCGCTATCTACTACTCCAACACCACCGCCTACAGGTCCTGATGCTTGAAATGCCGTTCTCGTCTTCGATTCCCCGTCAGTAGCGCCCTCGTCGTGATCTGTTCGTACCTTTTCGAAGCCCCAAGGTCCCGCAGTCTGGTCCTCATGCCGTGCCGTTTTGCGAAGAGCGTCTTCGGAACGTAGGGCATCGGCAGCCCCCCGTACCTGGTCTTGGACAGTTTTTTCACGTGCCACGCTTCGGGCATGGGCTTCGTCTCTCAGTTCATGCTGGTTAGATGCAGCAGGTTTGGGCCGAGGACCAGGCAACCGTGCGTGCGGACAAAACGTTTATATCAACAACATTATATTCTCGTTGATGAATAATCAGTGCATTGCGCGGATGTGCTTCCGGTTGCCTCGAATGTTGAAACAATGTTTGCATCGTGCATACCTCACGTATTGTCTGTCTCACGTATTATGAATAGAAAACAATCATGAGAGATCAAAGAAAGATCCCATGAGCGGCAACCCAAGACCATGTATCACCAAAAGCGAGGGGAGATAATAAATACTGTTTTATATTTCATCCTATTTAGTCAGTACGTATTCTCTGCACCTGAGCCTTTCCCCAAAAGCTCAGAAGTGTTGCACGTCGAGCATATTTTTCATCGGAGCGCTTCTTCTTGTGTGCGGCCAGGCGCTCCTCCTCCTTCTCCTTACGATCCTTGATTTCGAGCTGCACCCTTTGCTTGAAATGGGCCAGTTTCTGCTCCCTAGATTCTCGGGGTTGTTTTAGGAACAAAGTAGCGAGACAAGAAGGAAGCTTGTCGGAGACGCAGGCTGGGAGTACATTATTCGTCGGTAGCAAACAGAACGCAGTTCAAGACGTCAACTCGCGAGGCGTCGCCTACGGACGAAGGGCAAAAGGATAAGGCCACATTTGAATGCTGGAAAATCGTCGCTACGTTCGTCTCGAGTACCGGATACCTCTATCAATGCAGAATATTTATCCCAAGCGACACGGCAGATTTGTCCGTTGTTTCGCTGCATTGGTTGTTCCCGTTAAACCTGCAGTCGAAGTTTTTGCTTATGTGAGTCGGATACCGGCTGCAAACAGCAGGATGGGAATTCCTCCCTCGTACTGCCGAGGTGTGAGGGTCCGCCGGAGCACGCTTGAGGCCTCTCACCTCTTTTCAGTGACGTCCGTCTCAACGAGAGTGCCGAGAAACCTATCCTTGACCTGGAGATCCTTTATCTCCTGCTTTCGTTTCTTCCATGACATAGCCTCCGCTTTCTTTGCCTTCTTTTGTTTTGCTCGCACTGATGCCAGGTCGGCATAAATCTGTTGGTGTCACAAAGGGAAACGACGATCGATTGGGAATGCTTTTGACAACAGTACGTTCCGCTGTCTCACTGGATCCGTTCCATACGTAGGGGTGACACGCTGGATACTGCGAAGTATTTGCGGACACTTACTACGCAGATTGAGGACGTCCTCTGTTTGGCATGGATCCATTAGGTGGAACTATCGTTGCTTTTGAAAGTCGTTCTCTTCTCAATACTCTCTACCTTTTGTACGCCCTTTCATTTTTCAGCCTCTCACCCGCCCCATCCTGCGCTCGGCGCGCGCGACTCGACCGAGGTATTCCGCCCTTTGTCTCTCCTGGTTGACCCACACCGGTGTGACGAACTCTTCGATGTCATGCTTGACGAGTTGCCATTCATGTGCCGCGAATGCTTTTACCGTGTTCTTCATTCTGTGCGCACCCCGTGTTGCAGTCGACATCCATCGACGGTGCCATCCAAAAGAGGTTCGCATTCGGGGTAGGTCGTCAGTGAGAAATGTTGTCTTATGTGTGACGTAGTCCAGGTGAGTAATAAACGATGCGAAATTCCCACTTGGACCATGTCGTGGCCCCGGGAGTATTCATCAATGATAGCACACACTATTAAAATAAAAGACGGTCAATCCAATCGACGGCGATGGAGGAAGACTACTGCAACCACCGCGTCCATATATTACCTAGATCACCGTTTACGGTACATCATACGTTGCCGCGACTATCAAACTATCCTATGTGACTCGACTGGCGATACTACACCGTGGACACCATGACCGCAGCAATTACTCGTTGTCTATACATCCCTACAGAAACCTCTCAGAAACGTGTGCCATACATTCCTTGCCCCCATAAACTGTCCACTTTCGACGCAGATGGCGTTCCCATTTTTTTCTGTTTCATTTTCTCGTTCTCCCATGAAGAAAGCGGCGTAGGGTCACGCCATTGCGGTGGTGGAATCGTCAGAATCCAGTGCCCGAAAACAATACAACAGATCTGAAACTCGCTCCTGCAATAAATAGTAGAGTGGCAATATATTTTTATGTTACATGCGGCTTGTGAAGGTTTCACAAAGTTCCGGCGAGCGTGCCTATAAACATGTGTCTGCTGCATGGTGTGTTTATTACCTCGCAAACCGTCTCCGTGGATCTCTTGCCGCTTTCCTGGCAGCAATGTCTTCCTTCCAGGCTAGCCTGCTGTCGCCTCGAAGATTTGACAAGCAGAGGTCGTGGGCAGCCTTTTCCTTCGCAGCCTTGGCTTTGGCCTGCAACGCACACGGGACCACGGCATGGGTAACTTATTCGTGGTGTTATCAGAGAGTAGTCGAGTTTGTCCTTCCGTTTCGAATCACGACATTCTCAATCTACATGCAACCCCCCCATCTCCCCCTCTGTCCCTCTTTCTTGGACGTTCGTACAGTACAGATGATACAGTAGCTGGAAAATGTTTCAACAGGTACACACCACGCGGAGACAGCGTGTATGTCTAAGTCCGAAAAACTACGAAACTATGGACCACGACAGGTTCTTCATCGTCATTTACCGTCCTCCGATCGGCGTTACTTCAAGGAGGACTTGATATGTAGTAAGGAGGACTTGATATGTGGTACGCTTGAGGCGACAGCCCAAGTAAGACCTTGCGAATTGAGACTTGCTGGGGCCTGGGTATCTGTGGGAATACCATCCCAAGTTGTTCTAAAGCGGCGTCCTATGGCCACCCTTGTCTCCCCAAGAGCTCCGATCTGGGGTAGCACGCCAGAGTTCCTCTACGGTTCGTAAAGGGTTCAGCCGTCCTCTCCCTTAAAAAACATACCCACGAACAAGGGCTTTCCACTACCAGGTACACAAGGTGGAACAAACACACGTCGCCGAGATTCGAACTTCTAACCTGGTCACGGCATCATCTTCGAGGTTACCACCTAGGCCACGGCGGTGTCATACGTCGTACACGGTCGAATCTTTGCCGTTGCGTCTATGTCACGGAGAAACCCATTTGTAGTTGTGTGTCGTCACAATGCACCTTCTTTCTACGTTTCTCCTCCGCGAGCGCGGCTGTGACCTGTTCCGCCGTCATGTCCCCGTCGACGTCCCACAAATCGTCCTCGTCCGATTCCTCCTCCTCCCCCTCTCCCTCGTGCGTGAGGAGCGGAAGACCATCCTTCCCCAGAGGAACCGCCGCCAGGGTGCCGCCGCCGCCCTCTTGGCCATCCCCTTCTCTTCCTGACGGGTCTGCCATCGTCGCTGCGGCCTCGGACGACATTACGCTACCGAGTGTGCTCTGTGGCCCCCACCGCTGTTTGTGGAAGGGTCGGCGGGTACTTCACGACCTGTCCAGTACCAGCCAAGTACAGCAAATGCGTCACAACGTCGGTGCGAAATAGGCTCTGAGGGGAATGCTGTTGGGATAAAATTGGAGTTGGAAATATCACTGTGTCTGAAGTAGTACCAGGGTTGGCCTTTGTGATCCCTCGAGGCAACAGCACTGGCCTACACTGTACGTATGTAGTACTTCACGTACACTTGCAGGAGGAAAAATGCGATCGTGTGGTACGCATAATTGTGGCAACCTTCTACTGTATATCTTACGTTTATTGCTGACATTCATGTTCGTGTGTCCAAAGCTTATGCACATGGTAGGCCTAACAATTTGAGTAGCAGATCTTTTTGGAATGCTGCACAAACAAGAGGTGTGACACTCAATGAAGGCGCGGCGGCTATCATGTATGTGTGTACACGCGTACACCACAATGTACGTGTACATGAAGTCTCTCGTCTACAGCAGTGTAGACCGCCCGACTCTGTAGGTACCGAGTGTGACAGATGTGAAGAGCAGAATGGCTCTGCTTGTCCGTTGCCGAGAGGCTGAGAGGCTGCAGTGGTACGTTTGCATTTTTCAAGGATCATGCTTGGTGTCGAGGAAGAGGTACTGCTGTACTGAATAGTCCTGGTAGAGCCAGTTGGTATGTGGCCCACGGGCGGCATACACTCACCAGCAATGTCCAGACCGAGCAAATCAACCACCAATCGAGATGTCCACTCCGCGTGTCGAGACGGGTTGGCGTACAGCAGTCGGCACTCGTAGCGTACCTCATAACACCCACCAAGACCCTGATGAAAGCGCCGCAGTCAGGAACAGCATCTCATACACGAAACTGTGCTGTTTTGGCACATATCTTGTTTTCATCATCGGCATACAACGGGGTGCCAAAGTCGAACTGAGGCCCCGCGCGATAAACAAATGGTGAAACGGCCATACAGTACATCCAAGCAGCGGGGAAGGAAGGTCGAACTTTTGGTTCTCTTCGGCACAAAATAGAGCAGAGTGGGAAGTGTGTGCTACATCAATTAAGGGTTATCTGTCCTATAGTATGTATGCTCCTTTCGATCCTTGCAGTTCTCGCTTGACATGAAGTGCCTGCTATGGGCAATCGGCCGGGCCCGAACAACGGGGGCTCGGCGCGGATAAATTGGCTCTTTTTTTTTTTTTCCGGACATGTTTTTTTTTTTCTCTTTCAACGAACCTGCTTGTTGAGTTGCTTTAAAAATCGAGCCGCATTTTCAACCTTTTCTCAACGCTCAAGGCAATTCCTTTCACGTACATACCCGTGCCCAGGTCTAGCTATCTCACGCACACACGTTACGGCTGGCTTGCCAGAGGGTTTGACCGAAACGGGAAGCAGACTCACGTGGCGTGCCATACCAGACGCTATAACTCTAGGGGGAACAGCTCCAGGCCATGGCCCTCCTTCAGTCCATGGACTTGGAGCAGCAAGGCAATGGCATAGCAGCACATACCACATCATCACAGGAACCAGGAGCAGCTCTCGCCCAGCAGCAGGAACAACGACAAGAACAGCAGGAGCAGGAGCAGGAGCGGGATTCGCCCATGCGGCGAGCCGACACTCCCTGCCCCGCGGCGCTGCGACGGCGGCGGCAGCAACAGGATGGCAGCATAGGAAGATTTGTTTTGCTACCAGACCGGACTGAGACGAGCCGCCGGTTCATCCCGTTGGAGCCAGGGACAACAACAGTCGTAAGTGAAGGTTCCACCGGAGATGGGGGCGGGGGGCGTAGAGGTGCACAGGACACAGGACTAGCGTGTGCACCCATCGTGATTTTTCACAGCACGTATAGCGCCTTTCTTGAGAGACGGGGGACTGGGAGGTGTTTTTTTTTTATGTCCGTCCGCTGTGCGGAGAACAGCTTCAAGCTCTCTCGGTATCCTGGATTCGCGCTTACGCATACATACGCATTTGCATACGATGTGTTTAACGCTGCTGTACCTACGTATGGTATGTGCTTGATGAAAGTGTCCAGCTTCCGGGCGGTCTATTGGCATGCGTCTCACTCCCTCTTCTGTCATAGTTTTTGGTTGATCCGCGCCCGGTCCCTGTGTAGTTCGGCTGTTTAGCACGGTTTTCTTTTCGGGCCTCGCTGCGCTCGCGCCACGGAAAGGGCCTGGCCGTGGGCGTGCTTCTGTAGAAACGTTTCTATGCATGCATATTTCTCCGGCGGGGTTCAGTGTCGTGTGTACTCGTGCACCCACAGGCGAGCATTACGGGGCGCTTGCGCTTTTTCAGAGGGCATCCCCTGCTCGTTCGTGGACGTGTCCGTCCAAATCGAGCCGGAGTTGGTAGCCGCACGTGTACCGATGCGAGGGCAACTCCGCAAGGGGGATGTCGACTTGGATCGAGGCAGCATCTTGTCTAGAATAGAATCCTCCCTCTTGCTGATGGACGGCACTTTAGCGTGCTCCCACGCTCTCACCGTGTTTCGCGAATACATAGCTTGTCGAGGTAGAGGTGATTGTCGCTCATTTCTCGATGCCTCGACCCCCTCTCGCCCCGACTCGTTGGCGCGAGGTTGCCCGTCACCGCCTGGGTAGTTCCACGCGTAGCGCATGCTCCTCCTCACTCGAGACACAAGTGGTAGCGGGCCCGGAAATGTCGATCTACGAGTCACCACAACGTTGCTACCCACTACAGTCTCACGGCAGTCTTGCCCGATGAGAGGCCCGAAGCTTAGTTGCTGCATAGCAATCCGAGCTTTACAAGGAAAAATATGCATGCATTCAAAGAAAGACTGCCCGTTCGAATGTAGGGAAGCTCCTCGAAACATTGGCGGTGAATCTCGGAGAAAAATCCGCCCCAACTTCATGGAATAGAGAAGACGGTAGCTGTACTGGGGAGTAGGAAGTGGTTTGAAAAGGCGGGAAGTGATATCGTTAGGATAGATAGACTAGGGGAAGACATGTTTGAGCCACCTTTGGCAAAGTATGAAGGAACGATCGGCCATCGGTGATCGGTCCTGTGGGAACGATGCTCCGTCCTCTCGAGGACGCGTGGTCAATGGTCTAACCGCTACGGCATGCAAAACATAAGAGTACGCCCAACTTCGTTTGTTGATGTAGACACACACTCACCCTATGGCGGGAATACGCTCCTTGCAAATCGACAGATTGCAATTCGTCGCAGAAGTCGCTATTGCAGCAGAGCTTTCAGGACTCCCCCTCAAAGAAGCAACTCGAGAAGACAGCTCTACTTCACGAGGTTTTCAACTGCAGCTTTTTCGCCACGCACGCCCTTGACTTCAAGAACCTGCCGTTGTTATGTGCTTTGTGTGCAGTAGGTCGATGTTCCAGTAGCTCGGTCCTGCTTCCATATGTATCGCAAGTTTCATGCCCATGGGGTCCTTGTTGAAGAGACTGGGTGGTGTTCAACAACGGCCTGTTTGTACACCAGGAAGTCCCCACCAGTCCACTGACAACGCGGTGCTCTCTGAAACTCATGATCTCGCGATTTAACAGTTGAGGAAAACGGGTGTGTGCTGGCTGTCCTAATTTCATCGACTTGCCTCCGCAGGTGGGGAGATGCAAAAAGTCAGGCATCAGGGACCATCACGTCAGTCGTCGACACGTGGAGATCACCGTACCGGAGGGGGAGGAAGGATTCGCACAAGGTGCGTCGCCCGTCAGACGTTTTCTGCTCTATGGCGCCCGAGGAGATTGTTGAAGTCTTGTCCGCACAACGTGCCCGAAGCACGGGTATTATCTCCCTCTCAGCTTTCTCCCTCTTGCCTGTGCCGGTTGTTTGGCGTTGGTTTCGCGTGTTTGTCGCGGGAGAACAGGGCACTGCCGCATCAAGTACATCGGGCGTAACTGCCGCGTCGTGTTGGTCGGTGGGATTCTGCTGAAGGCGGGGCAAGAAGTTCCGGCCGCCCCTGGCACGAGAGTTGTCCTCAACTACAATAATAAGGTGACTTCCGGCTCAGCCAACTCACCCAACGCCTAGCGTCACGCCAAGATAGCGGCACTTTTGTAGCGTTGAAGCTAAGTAGCGTTGAAGCTAAGTAGCGTTGAAGCTCTTGCGCATACACGTTGGGAGAGACTCCGAGTGCGCTTGATCCAGGTTGGGTGCATCTTGTCTGCCCAGGAAATACCTGTCTGTCTTATTTTTCCTTTGAGTCGAGCGTATCCTTCGAAACATCTACAGCGATATTAAACGCAACAAATATGGTCAAACAGGATCATATTTCGCCCCGAAATACTCCATTTTCAAGTGGGTTTGGTTGTTCGCCAATACCATCTCGAGTTGTCGTTCTGGATCAAAACATTTTTCTTGTCGAGCTTCGTGACCCTTCCAAATCGGACGTTCGAGACGGATCGTCTACCGCACTCTGTTTTGAACTCGCACTGGTGTGTCGTCGCAGAAACCACGCCGATGCGGTGAATATTGAGAGCCTGCACTTGTACTTTGGAATTGAATGTGGTTGATTCGCACGCAGGATCATGAACCAAAAACTTCCGTTTTCTCGAATGGAAGCGGGAAGTAGCTGGTAAGAACCTTCACAGCTTGCCGCGTCCAGAGGTGGGTATTCAAAACCGTTGAGTCGGATTTCAAAAACAATCAGTTAACACCTCGCAAAATGCCTACCTTTCTTGGTACCTTTATTGACTGACCCCCAGTGCAACTCCCGCCTGCCCATCCCCATCCTAAAACAGGGCCTCCCACGCTACTCGTACACGCTCCTACCCACGAACAATCTACCCGCAACATTGCCAAGGACAGCACGGTGCTCAGTAGGAATGGGCGCGGCGAGAGCGGGCGATGGCCGTCCTTGGCGAGGCGGGCCTGTCTCGTCTTCTCCTCGCCGGTTGGGTGGTAGTGATGTGGAAATGGGGTCCGGGCGTACACAACCGTTTCATGGCGATGCTCACCTAGATGCCTACAACCGTCCTTCTCGATACTCCACGATCGCATCGAAGCAGCAGCGTCCACGACCAGGGGGGCGGTTTCGCAAGGAGGCTCAGGAGAAGGTGCGTGCAGGCGCTTCCTTCTGTTTTTTTCGGGCTTCACAACTGTTCGTATTGGTTGGTGTTCGTGTTCTTGGTGGCGCCAATGTTGTGTTGATATTGTTAATATATGGTCGCGTACGCCGTTATCAAGCTTGCCAAATGGTTTGGTGGATGGGCGAACACGATGGAACCTTTGCTGCGATACTTCCACCGCACCTTGGCCCGGATCCACATGATATAACCAACTCTTCTGTCGTGTTCGGTCGGAGAGTATCCCGATATTTTATGATCAGGCAAAGCGGCACCCGGCCTCAAGCTTTGATTGGCCCGGTGACGTGACACGTGTCTCAAAACTCCGGATGGTTTGGTTCCCCCTGTGTCCTCTACGTGTATTGCGTTGGCGAGAAACGAAGCTATCTCTCTGCCCCGGGGGGATTGCCTGTGAAAACTTTTGGGTGTGTTGTGGGCGAACCGTGTAAGGGCGCTGAAAATGTAACAAATTATCCAGTTCGACGTTACCCCTCGTCTCCCCTCCCCCGCTCCCACTCGTCCTCTGCCGCAGCTCCAGAAAGAGCGAGACGAGATTTTCAGCAAGTTTGCGGACCTCAAGTTCTTGTAACGCTTAAGGAAGTAGATTTCCCCCCCCTTCTGTTTGGTTAGATGGGCGCGCTGCTGTGGGATGGGCAGGTCTTGGTCCAGTTGTTGTGTGGTGTTTTTTCGTTGAACGGATGGATAAGAGCGATGGTGGCCGGTGGCGGGCTTGGAGAAGCGCCAGACGCGACGGCGAACGCCAGCGGACGGCCTTGATTGTGTGAGAGAGGGCGATACCCTGTTTGGGAAGGACGATACTGAAGCGCAGCCGTGTTGGATTTTTAGCCATCGCGGCAGTGTTTAGTAGGAGGGCCGTCGAGGGAAGGAACAGCTCAGCGGTGGGATGCACAGAAAGGCCACGTCGCCGTCTTCGATCAAAATTAAGGGAGTCAAGATGCATCTGGCTTGCACCATCAGTGCGGTATGGCGACATCATCCGTTCGTTTCGGAGAGGAGCCAAGGCATGGAGAGAAGAAGAGATGCGCGGCAACCCCAGTTTTTCTGCAACCCAGCGCGTATGATAAGACACCTTGGATGATACGGTGTGTTTTCACCGTTTGTAGGAAGGCGCCGGCCACGTAAAGCTTTGAGCAAATAACGCAAGCGTATGTAGCCGGGTGCTGCGCACCTTGGGGTAATTCCGGCGGTAGTTTGTTGATGCTTTCAATAAGGTTTCGCGAGACTCCATACACGCACAAGCGGACTTGGAAGAACAAGGCCTGAGATCGATCGATGACGAAGAAAGTGCGCATGCAAAGGGAAATGGGTGGACAGGCGTGCCACGGGGGGGAAAGGTAGTCCACTAAAAAAGAGCGCGGCGATGTTTGTGAAATGAATAGTTTTCCCTCCGAAGGTCATTTTGACATAGATCCTATAAGAGTGGAGTTGAGCTCTTCTGGGGCAAACATTGAAGACATTACAATTTCATCCCAAATAATTAATGGCGTTTTTTTTAGGACGTGGGCACGTACGTTCGGACTCAGCTGGGACATTGCAAACGCTACCATGTCCACTTCGCTTGTTGTTATTGCTCCTCTTTGCAGGAAGAATGCGGAACAATGTGCCCGTTGCTCGTGGTCTAATAGTTGTCATTATCGGAGCTTCCCGTTCGGAAGAGGCAGGTGACGTGCCGGGAATTTGTTGTGGCTCTTGTTGCCGGCTCGTGTATTCCGAAGGTGGCATGCTACGCGGTGTACGTTTCTCTTGGCAGAAGTATCTTTCGACTTTACCCTACATTTCCTGTTTTTTCTGCTGCTATTGAGCCCATTTTAAGTCTGACGATTTAACGGCTGCTCATGCGGTTGCCCTCAGTTGACCCTCGCGAACACCCGTGACACCAACATAGGTGACAGATTACCGAAGCAAGCACAGAGCGTTGTGCAGTTTTGATGTCCCGATTTTGGCTGTCGGCGGCTTTTCCCTCTGTCCCACCTCGGTTAGTTCTTGTTTTGATGTCATTGTGCACACGTAGTTGTGAACGCTGTAGCGCTGGACGTAGGTTTGATTCCTTGGCGGTGTGGTACTCGGGTGTTTCGGTGGAATTCCGTCAACATCCAGCCCTATCCCGAGCAAGTACTTGAATACTCATTTCAGCAAGCCCTGTCATGTTTGTAGGCTCTTCCTTGGGAAAGTGCCTTCTCTTTGAAAGGGAAGGCGGGGGAGGCACAGCTCAAGATTCACGCTTCAGTGTGGACGGGGTTATAAATATGTATTGGTCGTTTTTTTCTACAACGCACACTTGCTAAATCGCCACGTTGGCATCACCATTTCCCTACCAAACACGAGGAAAGATACCAAGGACGCGAGAGAACGCACGGTTCCGTGGTATCGCACGTACCGGGGATGTAGACTATATCGCACCCCCGTGCGATAAAAAACCAAGAACCAAGTGATTTAATTCGATTATCGCACGGGGTTCGGTGCTATCGCTCACCGACACCGAGCCCCGAGTGGCTCCGGGGCACTCGCTGCGCAGGAGGTACTTCGCGGTATTGTGAACGGTGTTGACTACGTACTATGGCGGCATCGCGTACCACGTATTCAAACACTGGAAAATATGACAAAAAACAGGGAGTCAGAAGAGACTGACTCTAACCCTAAAGGTTGATTATTGTTTTCTTAGTATCGCACGTACCGGTGATATCGCACCCCCCGTGCGATGATTTCGAGGTTTCCGCTGTTTATTACAGCCCTACGGAACGTTTCAGTGTTTCTGATCCTGTACATATGCGGGCGCACGGAGGGATGGAAGCAGCGATTTGTGCAGGCGTGCTTGTGTATCTCTCTTCTTCCCGGACAGTCTTGCACTTTCGATACGTGCGAAGACATGGGGTACACACGCGATCTACCAGTCCAAGGCATGCGCGTTGTCACAGCTGTTCTCCAATTTGGTAACAATCCAATTCGTGTAGTTTTGCACGCAGCACAGAAAATCTCATCATCCTCGTCTGTTCCCTCTACATCAGACTGAGAATTAGACTATACTTCTACCGCTTTCTTCTTGCCCTAACCGCAGAGGTGCATGCCTATACCAATACTTGGTTGTTGTGGTCTCCTTCCGCACCACGTATCTTCATTACCCCATCGTCGTCGTAAGGATGCAACAAGATATCACACTTTTTGTGCGAATCTTCATCTCTTCATTGCTCTCTACACCACCTTGAAAAAAACGAAAGTCTCTTTGAGGACCAGCACGGTTGCCCGAAGCAAGCTGCGATACCAATAATGTTCCAATAGCACTACGTAACGTTTCAGACGACCAAGTCCCTATATGGGGCCCGATCATTTACCTTCGCCCACTTCGAGGGTTGCCCAAATGATATTGTCCCTGCAATACTGTGTAGGGCAACCTGTCTCATCACACAGCTACCTCACACCGTGCTCTCTCCCGGCTGTGACTCCTTACACCAATATGTTACAGTTTTTGAGGCACCCGTCGCGAATCCTCCACAACCCTGCTGTATGTAACCGGCTGGTAAGAATCTCAATTCCACCTAACCCTTCCCCCCAGAAAGATACGTAGTTTGGGTCACGCCCCGGCTCCTTTCTATCTCTCCTCCCTCTCTGAGTGCTTAAGTACTTTGGCTTCGCCACCGCTGGTATAGACGGTACGAGGATAGCGCACGCATGCGGGCCACATCACATGCAATAAAGACATACTGAGACTGGAAACCCGACACGCAATTGCGAGGCAGTTCGGCAACTGATGTCCCGATGACCTTGATGCCCAGACCGAGGAACTTGAGGCCCAAACGGCTCCTGGCCCCGGCTCCGGGCCTCCATGGACAGAACACAACTCGTGAACGCAACTTGTCGGCCTCCGAAGTTGGTCAACTCTGTGTCGGTCCATCTACTATAGTTCTGTTCAACGCGGTCTAGCGTGCCCATTGACCTTTGCGTGATCTTCTCCGAGAACGTTACCTCCCCCAACGGATACAACTTCCCGAGACCTCAGTGGTCCTACACATTGCATCGTCCTGCGGACCCTAAATTACAAGAACAGTATCGCCTCAGACAATTTTGATAGGTTTTAGCAAACAACGGGTTCGTACAGTCTACGGCCCAAAAATACTGCTTCAATTCTAGCATCCCAGATGTTCCTCATTCAAGGCAGCCAATGTCTTCCATATGCGTACCACCTCCCATAGTAGCCTACCGTGCTGAAGCACAGCAAGTAACACGGTACGGCGTGTCGGTAGCGCACAAACGGTTGTGTTGCTAGCAAACCGATACAATATTTCAACGCTAAACTGGGTGCCACTGCGGCCCACCGCCGCGCCTACCCTTTCGTTCAGCACTACAACTGTTCTGGTCGGGCTCATCGTCTTCCGAGACTGGGAACTCCACGCTTCTTCCGCTTCAGGAGTCATGTTCCGCGTCGGATGAACCTTCATATTTTCCTGCTCGGTGCTTGTTACGCTTTACGACCGGTGCCTGGTACGGGACGGTCTCGCCCTCACTACTGTCGACCGTTTCGTCAATCTCGTCCTCACTGCTGTCTGTTTTGGCAGCCTTGTCCTCACTGTCGTCCGTTTCGGCAACGTCGAGCGCGTTCTTCGACAGGGGTGTTCTTTCAGCAGTGGGCCATTCACCCCTGTCTAAACCATCGTGTTTGACTTCGTCCTCACCAGCTGAGACAGGTTTCTCCGGGGGGTTGTCCTCAGTGTCGTCGATGGCCACTGACAGCTTCCACGTGCGGCGCTTCGAGACTGGTATCGATACGGGCATGGACGGGACCAGCGCCCGTGGGCGTGGCGCTCGTTCCTGTCTAGAACCCTCGGCGCCAGAAGACACGACCTGTCTAGCACCCTTGGCGCGAGAAGACACGACCATGTAGTCGATGATCGCCTTATTAAGGAAGCACTTGGCGAGTGTGCATCCTGCGGGTGCGCGCACAAGTATCGCGGGCATCATAAAGAAAGACGACAGGCGATATGGCTGATACTTAACCTCCGGAGAAGCCTCGTCAAGGTCCTCGAGTGAGCTCACGACAACAATCCCATCTTCGGATAATTGTAATACTTTTGAATTGAGGGCACCAATGGTGCGCTCGTGTGCATCGCACCAAGGAGCTCCATGTAGGGGAATATGCTGAAAGGGTCAACTCAAATATGGTGACGCGCAAGCACACACAGCCTGCACATGTGCCATTCATAGAAACAGGGTTGTTCGAGCATTGCGTTTCTTGCTCCGCTACCCGTGGAGGGATGGAGCCAACCATCTACTACCGTAGTGCCAAAAATTTGTACAATGCGGAAACATCCGAGTAGGCAAGTCGCGGAAACAGTGCACTTTCCGGGATGCAAGGTGCACCGCCTGATAGAGAAAGGGTCGTTGGATCGTGTGAAACCAATACCCGACGAGAGCCTAGGAAGAAGATTCAGAATATCCCTTTGCATGGCCGATTGGGGCGGTCGGCCGAACTTGCAGTCACCTACCTGCTACCCCAACGATCGCCAGATTTGCCGGATCACTTTTCCTGAGGGATTGCGAATTCAGTAGAAGATGAGCGGTACACGGAAAAGTTGGTTACTGTATGTTTGAAGCAAATAATATGTTACCGAGGCCGTCTACCGCTTGACGGACTAAGGTATGGGTGGATCTTTCCGACTGGAAGGAAGATGACAGTCTACGTTAGTAATTTACAGTTAATACGATGGACCTCAGATACTTTGAAGGTTGCACTGCGGCTTGTCAGCGCGTCCCCCCATAGCACGTATCATCACACCCGGGCTTTTCATAATGTCCATGGAGAAAAGCATAGAACATCTACGGTAGTCTACAGCATCTAAGTACAAGCGTTCGGTAAAGCCGTACCTTGTCTGGCTCGAAATGATCAAGACTTCGCCGCAGACCATTGCATCTGTTGCCGAAAGCAACGGGGCGTGGACAAGTTTCGAGGAGAGGGGCAGAAGCCACAATTTGGCGGAAGTATACCGGGTATTATTTGACCAGGCTAACTCTTCCTACCGTCGGAAACAATTTCGATATGCGTGCAACCTACCCTTGGATCGAAAACTGGTGTTGTAGAAAGCCAGACCCGTTGGCGGTCGGAGAAACCTGTCCGCCATTGGCTACGGGCTGTAGCGCTACCGTGGTGGTTGTGGACACCTTCTAGAGGAGCTAGTCAAACGCGTTGTGGGTGTCTACTTGGTGGCGAACCTTCGAATCGGGAGATTCAACCGACAGAAGGTTACAAACGGTTCAAGGGCTGCCCCTGATAACGGCCAAAACGGCCCGTGCCGCCCCTCATATTTGTCAAGGCGATCGTCACCAAACGGGCACAAAACCGCATGGGATACACGTACATTGTGCTCGCAGGGCGATACGAGGTGAGCGTAGCGTATCAGTAGATGTCGTTTATCACTTTGCAACTGAGGCATGGGTATTGACCATTCTCATTTCATCCCGCAGTTTACTGCAATTCTGCGTATATGATCACGGCTTGCCATTTTGGAAAGAAATACCAGTGCTACATCCACGACGGAGATATGTCTCAACTGATTGTGGGGCGCTACCTTCTTGGTTTGTTTGGAGCCCCGTGCACTCTTCATTCGACTCGCAACCATGCTCGTAGTTTTGTGCTGGGCTTCAGACAGAAGGTTCGTTGTTTCAAACCGTACTATAGTCTCGCAAGTAGCACGACGAGCAACGGGTCACAGCAATTAGTTGTGTGTGCTGTCACACCGTTAGTAATCTTGCGTTTCGCAGACGTCGATCAATTCCGATTTAACCCCTTAGACTACCCTGCCTTGTCCATAGATTCGAAGACGATCGCCCAAAGAACTGGAGCTGCACACACATCCGTCCTTGCACTATTGCTGTCACTTGATAGGGCTAATGTTGGATATGTTCCACCTCGCGTTGCCGAAGTATCCACAATCAGCTGTTGACATGTCGTTTGATCGGTATTAGCATACGATGCCATCAACACTGTCTTGACCATCGGTTGCCGTGTCGAGAGAGCTCCATCATGCCCTAAGTTGTCGTCGACCATGGGAGAGAAAACATACAAGTACCCTTTCACCGTTCAACATACGTGAGCGAGCGCTTAGGCCGGAAATGTGTTCGAAACTAGGTAACCCTAATGGCTCCAATCCTCGTGCGGGTTCGTTCTTTGAGGAAGCGCTTAGGCCGTTCTCAGCAGGCGTACACAACTGGCTTCTTACCCGCCCCTGCATGCCGCACTTTGATGTGGGGTATGTACATTGAGAAAGGCTGCTATTAGGCAGCGACTTGGTGTTTTAAATCCGACCCAAGCGATATCCTGGGCGCAACTCACACAAGCATATACCCATCGACCGGGACACCTTGAACACTTCTTCCGCGATGCGAGCACTCGATCCTCCCAAGGTCCGAAGTCTGGCACATAGCTGGGCGGCAAGGAATTAGAGGAACGGGGGAAACAATTGCTCGTTTTTCACGGGGTACCGATGCCGCATATGGTCGGTCGTATCGTGCCCAAGAACATCTACGGAACCATACTTGTTGTGGGAAATGGCGGACGTACCAACCCCGGAGGGCAAAAAAACGATTTCAGAGACGAAAAGAGCTGTTAAGGTCATGTGGCACGGCTGTCTCCGTAGAAGGGAAGGAACCTCCGCGGAAAGTAACGACGTAGTCCGATGACTGACCTGCGCGGCGCCCGACCCGCAAGCGTTCAGGCTTACTCCGATGGCACCAAACTGTAAGACCCTTCCGTACTCAGCGCGTGCGAATGTGCCCAGCAGGAAGAGGACTACTGTGTAGAACGTAGCCCCTAGAGTTATGAGTGTCTTCGTCCTTTTCACCTTCTTCTTCCACTGTGGGAGAGACGTTATCAAATGACAGCGGGGAGCAGAACGGCGAGAGATGATTATGAGAGGGGGGAGAGACGGAGAACAGGAGTAGGGAGCGGTAGACAGATAGAGCCCAGACGAAGGGGTGGTGATGGTGGATAGGTGGAGTTGTAGGATTGGGGGGCAAAGCCGCAAATCGGTTTGCTCAACTCTGATGGCGGACGACAGGCTCGCGGTAGGGTGGTGGTGAACCGTTGCATGTTGATCACCTCGACATAAAGTAACTCCAGTAGCCGACGGTGTGTGTGCCACCTGATTGAACGAGGGGCTCGACCTACGTCTGTCTTCAAAACCACGCACCAGGGCAGGTCTGGTCGGCGTGACGCACCTTCAAACGAGACAAGCAGGACTTCGACAAGTCTACCCACACCGATATCACGATCGCAGTGGGGAGAATCATAAGCCCCCCACCCAGTGGGAAGAAAAGCCTTGCTTGCCAGTAGGTGAACGTAGAATCGGAGATCGCCCCAATGGCCGTCATTGTCATCCACAAGTAGCTGCTGATATCGATCACCGCCGATGCCACGACCACGCGTATAGTGGTGGCGCCCATGTCTGCACAGGTTTGGAGGAAATTCCACGCTCAAGTAGTTACGCGGTGTCAAGTCAAGAGTCCCACGTTTTCGGGGTCTGGCATGTTGTCTGCGTAGTTCACCTTCCAGCGGAGGGCTCATTTAGACTGACGAAAAATAAGTGGGTAGACTTGGGTTATCCCCTTGAAAATATGCGCTTTTGCGGCTGTACATCCAGATGGTGTCTACCATCAAATTCTTCAAAGCTCGGGGCCTTTCGGTGGAACTTCATGATACTTGCAAATACCAAGTTTGGAAGGGTGAGTGGACCGGTTGATGGAACCTGAGTCAAGGTCCAAACAGCATGGGCGACCCTGCCTGCGTGGGTCGGGCAAAACCGTCCGTAGATAAACGGCTACATACAAAAGAACAGGTTCAGAGGCATGCCCGTAGGTAGTTTCCTTCAACGGCGAAAAGCCGGCGAAATATGCGCCAGTTCAAGTGGAGGCATCACACATGGTTGTTAATAGCTAGTAGTTCGCGCTTGGGGAAACTCGCTCGTGTGTTCGCTTTGCAGCTTTGAATTTCTTTACCTTCCCCCTTTCGCCAAAGCAACATTGTTACGAGTTGCGCGAGTCCCGATCCGCATCTCGACGGCGTTTTGGAGACCTTTTTCGCAGCGGAGGCCAAGAGCGTGACAGATACTAAGCTCACAAGCACCAGAACGGCCCCCAAGGCCCACGAATTCGGTCGCAGTTCGTCGCAGTAGAGGCCTGTGTGGGCAAACATGGGATTGCACATGCATCTGCCAGCAGAAACCGAGCAGTATGCAGCACACAGCCAGCGCACGCCATGATATTGTTGTCGTTTAGAATGCCGGGACTACAGTGAGGCACCACAACCACATGTCGCAACGTACGGCATCCCTTCCACATATCAGTGTTTTATCAGCCTGCGTTCGTTTGCAACACCACAAGGAGTCGCAAAAGAAAACTCTCTTGTGACATACCGTACTGGAAACAATTCAGATCATAGAATCACGACCCGGATGGTTGTTCCGCGATGGTGGACCTATGTGGGTCGTTGACCTTTTCGCAGGCAGACTACCGTCGCCGTACGCGCAAAAAGCAAACCTCGCCACGGAAAACAGGAGACAAGGGAGAGTTTCTGTGGAAGACGGCTCATTCGTCATCAGGCGCCCCGTCGTGTCTACTCCGCATTCGCCAGCGTTTCGTTCTCGAAACGGTGTCTCGATTTCGATTCGTGTATTACGTTTCTCTCCGTTCTCTCCCGTACCGTTCGCACCACCCATCACACCGATCGAACTACACCTCCCCGATTGCCACGGACCGCCTTGCGGGAGTCGAGCCCTTTAGTGCCGACTCCCCGCACGATCCCGTTTTACCCCCGTAGCGCGTTTTACGCAACATGTTTTCTCCACCATGGTGGTGAATTGGCCGAATTGGGGCACTCCATGAATTTG